AAAAAAAAAAAAAAAAAAAAAAAAAAAAAAAAAAAAAAAAAAGAAAAGAAAAAGCCATAGGCTCATATAATTCCATGAGCAATGTCGCTTCATTATTCGCCGTGCATTGTTTTTTATTCAAAAACCGGAGCTTTTCCATGCTCGATATTCATCGTTGCTTCTTATCACTCACTGGCGTTGGTAATTCGATCCCATTTCGCCGCGCATAATCCTACATATACATAAAACCAATAGTCAGAAAAAGAGAAATCCCGCAGATTCAAGAAGCGCATTGAAACACAGTCTCACCTCACAACTCAGCCGGATAGCCTCCTCGATTCCCACCCGAGCTTCGTATCCCAGGATCCGCCTCGCCTTGCCTCCGCTTGCATACCGAACAGAACATGCATCGCCTACACTCCCACGGCTAAGGGTCGTCGACGACCCAGACACCCAGGTCGACATCTCACATAGCCAACCAGCTAGATACGCCATGCACCGGGGAATGTGGATCTCAAAGAGTGGGGTGTGGCCGAACTGGGCCCAGATGGCCAGGCAGAAGTCGCGAAAGGTGATGGGCTCGTTGTTTTGGATGAAAAAGGCCTCGCCGGCCGCAGTCCGTGAGGAGATAAGGTTCTCTGCTGCCAAGACATGCGCGTCCCCTATGTTGGTCACGTAGGTGACGTCCCACAGGTTGTAGCCGTCTCCAATTATAAATGGGGTTTCACATTTGGAGATGCAGTTGTGGATGGGCGGGAGGAGTTGAGGGTCTCCGGGGCCGCATAGCACGGAGGGTCGGAGGGAGCAAGTGGCCATTGTGCTACTGTTGGCTTCGAGAACTATTCTTTCTGCCGCAGCCTGTTTCAGGAGTGATTAGCAAGGCCCGACCCGCGATTGCCATGGTAAGAGATCTGAATGGGTAGAGTGAAACAACCTTGGACTCTCCGTAGATTAGCGACGACGACGGTATCGGCCATTGTTCATCGATGTTCTCGTATGGCGTGCTCATATCATCCGTCACAACGCAGCAAGTACTCGTGTAGACAAATCCTTTGACTCCAGCTTGTCTTGCAGCATCCAACATGTTCCTGGTCCCTTCGATATTTGTCTTTCGCACCAGTTGTTCTAGCCTTCTCCCAAACCGCTCGCTAAGACCTGGGACAATACCCGCTGTATGAATGACGATTTCCGGTCTGGCCTGCTGAAGCGCATTGTAAACGGTATCATAGACGGTGACGTCTGCTTGGGTGAATGCGACATTGTCGGGCAATTCGTGGGTGCTATTGGGAGGAGAACAGTCCAGGACAGTGATGGTACACTTCGGATGTTGTTCTGCGACAGCTCGAGCGATGGCGGACCCCACAAACCCAGTCCCGCCAGATATGAGGATATTTCGCAGTGGAGGTTTTTCTCTTGTATGGTGCATTATCGAAGGCGTAGTTGAACGTTGTTGATGTTGGATATAGGTTATGCGACGGAGGGGAGCCGCGGTTCCGCAATCCATTAAATCCCCGAACAGGGCAAACAGAATGCAACCACAGCAAACGACTACAGCAGTCAATTGAGTATCTCTCAAAAATCAATAGACATTGCGATAAAATTTCAGTTGATTTCATTCAGTGCTCGAATTCACTGATAGATTGGCAGCATCTGTCATTGTATTCATACACATTCTCTGTACATACAGAGAGCCAAGGACAAGCGCAGAGAGTAACGGACAAGAAAAAAAGGGCACTTCACGTTATCATACTATACACAGTCCCAGGTATCCACCCAAGTCGCAAAAAAGAACAATCCATAAGCTCGAAACATGACATGGGAGACGTTTCGACTGACCGAACTCCGGAATGAATGCAAACACGACAGCCATAAAAGACAACGAGAATCAGAAGAGGAAAACAAAACGAAGTCATGAGCCTTCCCCAGCTCTAGAGCACTCTGCAAAGCACCAATCCACCGACTTTCTTCTCCACACACTCTCTTGCTTCCATGATCCCCCGATCTGTGGAAAGGTAGAGAGATTCCCCAGGCGACCTGATTCCATCAACGTAGTCACTCGCCTCTCCATTGACCACCCGGCGGAGGGCCCGAAGGTCCAGGTTGATCCTCCGAGTGGGCTTGCTGATCGGAACCATCTTGCCTAACACAGAGTCACTTTGCCAGTACTTCAGGCCCAGCCATAGTCTTCTCGAGGCAATGTTTTTCTGTGTCACGGGCTCAAGCTCTTGCACGGTATCGTTGACGGCTGGGGTACCCAGGAGGAGATGCGGCGGGGGAGGTGCCTTTCCGCCGCGGACAACGGAGGAGAGGAAGCCGTCGTTCTGGAGGGCGAGTGAAAGACTCAGATGCATTTTCGTGTTGGGAATCGATGTGAGACCAAGGCGGGCCTTGGTGGCATTGTTCAAATGCGAGCAGACATGGGCGAGGTGGACGAGGGACATTGTGACGGTTCAATTGGCATCCGAGGCCTGAGGGATTGCGGGGGTGTTGGGTTGTCTGGGCTGTCTCCAAATAGCGATTAGCAATTTTAGCAGGCGGCCAATTAGCCGGAGGGCAAATACTCACCGAAATCCCAGTGTAAAAGCTGCCGTCAAACTGTCAATCGCTGTATATCAACAACACACACGGAGCAAGATTCGGAGAGAGGATGAAATTTCCCGGACCGAAGTTGATCCGGGCGATGTATAGCAGCAGCAAATCACATGCCGTATCAGCTCCATCACAAGCGCCGAGCATTAGTCCCGGCGCTTCGAGGACAACGCTGAGAGGCTGATGGGAAATGGTGCGAAGACGGAAGTTAACAAGTATTTAAGGATAGGTGAGTCTCCCCTCATCTCTGTTGTTTCGTCAGTAAACAACTGCTGGAGGATACATACTGCTATACAATCATGCCTCCATTACAAGGTGAAGAGCGAATGCTGACTGTGTGAGTACCAACAGACGAGAGGAGTAAATGCAGCTTATTCTGACAATATTGGACTTGTACTAGCTTCGCGGACGTCCATTCCTACTTCACAGAGCCTACTCCCAAACCCATCCATCATCGATTCGATAAGGGCTCATATCTCTACATCTACCACGATGCTGCTCAGCACAAGTCCCGGATTGAGGTCGCCAATAACCCCGGAACGCCTTTCCAGGATGCATTCAATGGAGGTAGGTGAAACCACTTGTTTAAATGGCTGTGCTTGTGCTGACATCCACAGCGCTGGACCGTATCCATATAGACCATTCCACTCGTTTCCCCACTCTCTGCACCGTGACAGTCGATGGACCAGATCCCAATCCTCAAGCGTTTCCTCCTCCGCCCAATCCCGCTAGTCTCTATGAATGGCGATTGCCCAGCAGCGACCAGAACGATCTCTTCCGCCTGCACACGCTGGACGTGTATTTCTGGACGCAGGAAGACGTCGACCAGTTCCTAGATGTAATGGAGCACATATTGTCCCCATCGCAAATTGCATCAGACAGACACCCGCAGCTGGAGAACCACAGTCACGAAGAGGATCATAACAACATCAGTTCAGTGGTACAGCAGCTCGAGAACGTCGCTGTGACAGACCCGGCCTATCAAAACGGCCAGACGCGAAATTCTCGAACTGAAGCGTTCCCAACATCGAACACAACGCCGGTGCATATTGGAATGAGCACCTTCCCGCCTCCCCCTCCATCAGCAACATTACCTCCTGCGCCCGCTGCTGCTACTCCGAGCATTAGCCCGACCCAGCAAGCAACGCCTTGCTCCCAACCATCAGCAGAGCAACACAATCAAGAACCCGCACAAGGCGCACCGCTTCCATACAACCCCGCCGCACCAGCCGCCCCGGAACCCATCCAGCACCGCGAAAAGACCCCACCCCCGGCAGACGGCGTAGACGGGACCGGCCTACAAGCGGCTGTGGCAGCCGACCATGGCATCCCATACACGCCCCCATCACAAACCCCAGGCGCCTTCGCACCCCCTCCAACACAGCCTCTGCCCTATTCAATGCCTGGAAGCTACGCATCCCCACCACCCAGCGCTGGATTACCTCCAAGTAGTGCGCCTGGTCTGACACACTCCGGGTCCCTCTCTTCCCGCTCCTCATCCGTCCAAAGTCCCCCGGGGGCGTCACTCATGCCCGCATACGCGGCTAGTCCATCATCCCCGTTCTTCCCCGGAAATGTACAACAACCGCAACAAGCCAGCAGGACGGGATCCCTTTCTTTTGCGCCCCCTCCTCAATCTCAACCCCAGTCCCAGGTTCAGCTCCAGGCTCAGCCCCAGGCCCAAGCTCAAACCCAAGACCCCAACTCATACCTCCAACTTCAGCAACTCCAGCAACAATATCTCTACAACTCTCAAAATCCTCAAGCCCAACTCCAGCTCCAACTCCAACTCCAGCAACAGCAACAACAACTTCAACAGAAACAGCAGCAGCAACAGCTCGCCCCCGCCGCACAAATCGGAGCCTTTTCTATCCCCAATACCAATGAACATGATCCCAATGCTCATCTCTACGCAGCACAACAACAGTTACAGCTACAGCAGCTACAGCAGCTACAGCAGCAGCAGCCGCAACAGCAAACGCTCTCAAAGGGCGCCGATTCCGCGCCCACGCAGAAATCGGGCAAATTGGAGAATCGTGCTGCGAGGGTTGAGAGTGGGGTTAATCGGTTTTTGAAGAAGTTGGAGAAGAGATTGTAAACGTAGGACTTTGGTTCTGGGTTTTGTTTATACGTATATCAGATTGTGATTTTTCCTGTGAATATGATAGGATGGTATAGTAATGCATGAGTATGATACCCTAAGTTGTACGTGACCTTGTAGAAATGTAAACAAAGCGAAACTATCTGAAATGTATAATTCAATGCTAACCTAACTACCTACAGTGCAAATATGAACAAGAAAGGAGATGAATCAATATCCACAAACTGTACCACTGTACAAACCCAATGAAATCATCCAAATAACATATCTCCATTCACAAATTGACAAGTAAAACAGTAAAAAGGAACCAACATAGCACAAGAAAACCAAACAACTACCTAATCAACCAACCAACACGGTCCGATAAGACCTTGGCACCGTCCTGTGCAACGAAGATAATCCGACAATATGTAGACCAAGAATGAAGAAGAGAAGAAAATGCTCAGATATGCAAAGATGAAAGATGCGATAAGCGCTCCAAGAAAAAACACAACTCCGCACTGGTAAATGCTCCGACAGTCCGATGCAGTCGGTTGGTCCGAACAAAAAACAGAAGGTATTTGAAGAGAAAAAGACATCGCGGTCAGAAATAGATGAGGTCATCTGGCGTCGCGATCGTAAGGGTATAAGGGGAAAAGAAAAGAAAGCTAAAAGAAGAACGAGCAAGGAAATAACGAAGAACCTCAGGAATCCCTCCAACAAGGATCTTCAGTTGTCAAGTAGTTTATTTGTTCTCGACATCGACGTTAGCTGCCGGAGCAACCTCGGTGTTCTCAGTTGAGTTCTCCGCCGAAGTGTCAACAAGAGGTTCAGTGATAGGTTCTTTGGCTTCAGATGCGGCATCGGGGACGGTTGGCTCAACAGTGACCTCCTCAGGGATAGAAGGGGTGTCCACGGCCTGTTCAGTGGGCTCCTCGGGCTTGGCTTCAGCAGAGGTTTCGGCGGGCGCCTCTGCGGAAGGCTTCGACTCGGCCGGGGCATCGTTAGACTCGGTCACAGGTTCCTCAGCAAAAGGCCCCTGAGCAGGGGGTGCTTCGGCAATTTCCGTGGGCTCCTTCGACTCCTGGGGCTCCTCAACAGGCTGAGCAGGCTCCTCAGGGATAGACTCTGCGGGCTTCTTGGTAATCTCCTCTGTCGAAATAGCCTCACTGTTCTCGCCCTTAGACTTAGCTGGCGCTTTGGCTGCGGGCTTGGCTTCCTGGATCTTCGAGTGAACATTGGTCTTAGGCACGACTCTTTTTGTGGCTTGGGTCGGCTTGGATCCTTTGGGAGGGCTCTTGAAGTCCGCTTTTTCTTGTGTCTTGCTAGCAGAGCTGGCGGTTGGGCGCATCATGCGAGCCAGGAACCCTTCGTCAACCGGCTTGGAACTGGCACTGCTTGCTCGCGAACCTGGCCGTTCGCTAGATGACTGGCTCTGCGGCGACCCACGAGGTGTTTTGCGAACGCTGGAAGCGGTTGGGGTAGAGGAACGCGCGCTAGCTCCATTCTTCAAGGTAGACGGCTTGCGCGACGCAGTCGAGGTAGTAGTTGATGTTACTGTCGCCTTCGATTTAGCTGCCTGGGTTGATGCAGTGGCAGCGGCAGGGACACGAGCAGGCCTGGTAGGCGACTTGGTTGCAGGCTTGGTGGTGGTGTTCGACGCGCGAGAGGCGGTGGTTGTCTTGGTCGCATCACGCGCGGGGGTTGCTGAAGGACGACTAGGTCGCGAGGGCGCCTTGGTGGTGGTATTCAGAGTTGTGCGGCTTGGCTTGGAGGCGGCGCTCTTAGTCGGCTCATTAGAGGCAGCGGGCTTAGTTGTGCGAGTAGCGGGTTTGGCCGGCGAGGTCTCCGTGCGCACTTTGCTGGATGATCTTGCGGGGGACGATTTGGCGGTAGTGGACTGACGAGAGCTCAATGGCTGCTTAGTGACAATATTGGCTGGTTTCCGAGACGACTCGTCAGTAGTAGGCGCAGCTGGGCCATTCGATGCAGGCTGCGCCTCCCGCGCGGGGGCGGGTTTATCATCTGATGCCGGCGCATTGTTAGCCTTGGCTGTTGGAGATTTGGCATTTTGCGGCGATGCGGTTCCTGATTCCTGCTTCGAGGCTGCAGACTCTGCAGGAGTGGCGATACCTAGACCACTGGCTGTCGTTGGAGAAGTCGATTCCGCGCTCTTCTGGCTGCCGGCAGTATCCAGATCCTCCGAATTGAAGCTCCTGACGCGAGCGGGAGAAGAGGGAAGGTCACTCGAGGTCCGCGATTGAGCAGTCTTGTCAACAGCCACGAAGCTCGCGCGAACCTTGGAAAGCGGCCTCGCGGAACCAGAGTTCTCGGAAGTGGGAGATCGACCGCGGGAGGGTGGAGACGAGACGTTGGTTTGGTTACTGTTGCTGTTGCTGTTGTTTTCGAATCTGGCCAGCAGGCTCCGGACACCTGGATGAGCCATGGTTGCTTCTCAGTTGAGTTATGCGATGGGGATGACGCGATTATCAGGAGAGGAGCTGAACCTCGGATGAGGTCAGTCAGGGGAGATCCGCAGTATCCGTGGACGATGTCGCACTACTTTTGCTGTTGAATCGCGCTATTCAGAGCAGATAGAAGGTCAAAAGAGGCCAGTTCGTAGAGGCCAGATCGCAAGATAAGTGCCAGGGGAGGGGCTGACTGGTCGCGTTGATATAGGAGGGGAATGGAGGAGGGGAGTGGGATGGAAGCAGACTGAATGGCTGAATGAATGGATGAAAGTAAAGTCAATGAGACAGTCTCGTTGGTAGATTCAGTGGTGAAGAGAGCATGATAAAGACGGAGTAAATTGAAAGAAGAAGGGAGGTAGAGGAGGCGAAGAGGGAGGAAGAGAAGAGAGAGGGCGAAGTGGAAGGCTGACGGGGAAAACGCCTCAGGCAACGGTTTCAGGGGTCAACGGCGGATCCGGAGTCTACTCCATACTCAGTGTGTGATGACTACTACTTTCTCCTACAAGTGCAGTCAAACTCAGACTAACTGCTCGGAGATGAAACTATTAAGGAGATTCAGTCTGTGCCCCCCCTACAGCTCCGGGGAATTCAACGCACATCCGGAGTATACAAAAGACTATGTAGACTATTCTGTGCGATTCAATGTATCTTTCTGGAATATAGCTGATTCACACTTCTAGCAGCCTTCTAGAGGCGATCCGAGGCGGAATCATCCTGGATATTCTCCTAGTCTGCTCCATTTCGGGACGTTATGCCAATCCCCCCTGATATTAATGCGCAATCAATCTCCGACAGCCCTCGGTCTCAGGACAGACCTCAGACACCTCGGGACACTTTCAGTCCTCTGCTATGTGCTTTAATACAAGCATGGACATGCGAGATTACAAGAATGCTGATCGCATTACTTGCATCGATCTTGCATTGTTCGTTGTCAGTCAGAACGAGTTACAGTTCAATAGACATCCCTATTGATGCCATATGCTATCCCTTACAGCGCATAGACAGCAGGGGAATTCACCCGCAATAATAACCAATGCATTGGCTGAAGCCAAAAATCAATACAATCAGTTTCTCAGCTCTCAAATCTCAAATCCTTAATTGTCTAAACATGTAATCCCATCTATACAGCGGATCAACATTGCTCCGCCGGCTACAAAACCCGCATCCGCAATCGGAGCAAGAAAACGGCCTCATCCAGCACCACCATAGTCAAAATAAGAAAATGGCTGCTGCCAGGACTCTTCGCATCGGTCAATTGCTCTCGTTCTCCTTTCAATTGGACTTTCACTGATATCTCCTTGCAGGTCTCATCCCCGGTGACGGTATCGGACGGGAAGTCATTCCGGTATGCAATAATTTCGGAGGGGCAGAGTGAAGGCACAAATGAAGCTTACAATGTCAATTGCAATCGATAGGCCGGCCGTCGGGTCCTTGAATCACTTCCCTCGTCGCTGAACCTCAAGTTCAGCTTCGTCGAGTTGGACGCCGGTTACGACCACTTCAAGAGCACCGGTACCGCTCTCCCCGACAAGACCGTGGATGTCCTAAAGAAGGAATGTGACGGTGCTCTGTTCGGAGCTGTCAGGTGGGTATATCAGTCTTCAATTGCAGCTGTATCTGCATGCTAACTCCCTGCAGCTCCCCCAGCACCAAGGTTGCCGGCTACTCCTCGCCCATCGTCGCCCTCCGCAAGAAGCTCGACCTCTACGCCAACGTCCGCCCCGTCAAGACCACCTCCGGCGAAAGCGGCCGCGACCCCATCGACCTGGTCATCGTCCGCGAGAACACTGAGGATCTCTATGTCAAGGAGGAAACCACCAAGGACACCCCCAACGGCAAGGTTGCCGAGGCTATCAAGCGTATCTCCGAGAGCGCCTCGTCGCGCATCTCCACCATCGCCGGTGAAATCGCCCTGCGCCGCCAGAAGATCCGCGATGTGGCCCCTGCCAACGCCACCCGCTCGCAGCCCATGTTGACCATTACGCACAAGTCGAACGTGCTCTCGCAAACGGACGGTTTGTTCCGTGAGACCGCGCGCAAGGCTCTTGCCGCTGAGCGCTTCTCGTCGATCCGCGTTGAGGAGCAGATTGTCGACTCGATGGTTTACAAGCTCTTCCGCCAGCCCGAGTACTACGATGTGATTGTCGCTCCTAACCTGTACGGTGACATTCTGTCCGACGGTGCTGCTGCTCTCGTTGGCAGTCTAGGTCTTGTGCCTAGTGCTAACGTTGGTGACGGTTTTGCTATTGGTGAGCCGTGCCACGGTTCTGCTCCTGACATTGAGGGCAAGGGCATTGCCAACCCCATTGCTACTTTACGCAGTGTTGCGCTGATGCTTGAGTTCTTGGGTGAGGAGAACGCCGCTGCTAAGATCTACACCGCTGTCGACGCCAACCTGGACGAGGGCAAGTTCTTGTCTCCTGACATGGGTGGCAAGGCTACCACTCAACAGGTCATGGATGATGTGCTCAAGAGATTCTAAATCAGTCTTGACCTATAGAATGTAAATGCGTTACCTGTTTAGCTCATTCTTCTCATTGCATCTAGTGCAGTTACTATGCTTCCCAACCAACCTTCCCCAAGTTCTCATCCTTTTCCTTCGTTTCCGTAGTCCCTTCTTCAGCCTCCTTTATATGGTCCTTCTCCTGCTCCGTCCCAACCAGAACAAGAGTAAACAATATAACAAGGTAAACCTCCCCTGTCTCCCGATTCTTCAGAACATACCGCAGATCATGATTCCTCTCATCCACATACTTAATAGCATGAAGCGTAAACCCAGGCAACCGCAACGAGAAATCTACTAGGGTTAGCACACATCTATCACATCACTTATAACCCAAGGAAGAAGAAGGTGGAGGGAAATACCGTTAAAAACCAAATACGGATTCCCAAATCCAATCTGATAAACCCTCCCCTCCTCAAACACAAACCCCTTCCTCTCTTCCTCCCCCTGAAAAAATTTCATCCTCTCCCCCGCCTCCCCAGGCACCTTACACCTCTCCCTCTGTTCCCTCGCATCACCCCCCTCATCCCCCTCCTGCACAACAACCCCATTAACCCTCGGCACCTCATCCCCACTCTTCACCTTTCTCCCAACCCGGAACTGATTCCACGATGCCAACGCAGGGCTGAATAAATACGGTTTATCCGCGTACGCGTCGCCATCCATGGACGGGTCGATGGACCATTTTACCAGTCTGAGGGCGGTATTGAAGCCGGGGGGTAGGCGATCGCGGATGGGGCGGTCGAAGTCGTGGCCAAAGAGGAGGGCGTTGCCGTTGACCGGTTTTTTGAAGATTATGCTGAAGGTTAGGGAGTATTGATCTGTTGTGTGGGACGGGTGGGTGAAGATGGGGTGGGTTGTTGGGGAGGTGTCGGGGTAGCCTATTATATTTGCGTTAACATTCTATCTGGTATTTGAGGGCCTAGCTAGGGACGGGACAGGGAGGTACCGTTATAATCCTGGATCCTAACAGCCAAGCTCACCGTCGCAAGGTCATTGTCTATGCGTACCGTTTCGTCGCCGTTCACGGGAACCAATTGGTGCGTTGATGGGTCATATTGAGTGCCTGCTGTAACTTTGAGTCGGTATTTCTTGTGCTGCGCTTGTTCGAAGAGTTCGCCTGATGTCGCTGATGTGTTGGATTTGGAGGCGCTGCTGGAACGGCGTCGACTGGGGGTTAGGCGGCTGTGGGAGGTTGAGCGGGAGCGTGAGGCCATTGTATACGAGGATAATGTATGAGTGTACAGTATAGGAAATCGACTTGGGCGTCTGTTTTTCGTGTTATATCGGGTGGGCAAAGTATCTTGTGTTCGTTAGTTTGCAGGTCGTCCAAGATATATACAGCCAAAGAGATACCACTCACAATGTCGTATATACTGGTATACTGAAATATAATTGATCAAGGTAGCTTAGAATAATACAATTGAGCATTCCAACACTTTAATATTAGGCAAGTTTATGAAAGTTGATGTGACGCCCATCGACGTCATCGCGGGAACCAATGATCGAAGCAATGTATTAACCCTATTATGATACAACCCAAGAACGGTAGTAAAAAGAAAAATAATATAGCAAATATGCCAAGCAGATTAAAGATATGCCGGGTCTGAAGGCAAAATATCCGAATTGAAACCACTCGGTTCATCGTCCAAATCGTCCGTGAGAATTCCAACCCCACTATCCATTGGCCTTCGGTGCTTGCCTCGACCAATATCAATGTTCACATGTCGCGACATGCTGACCGGAGTGATGGGCTCGCTACCTGTAACCGAACTATCCGACCGAAGCTCCTTTGTTTTCAGTAGTTCATATTTGGAAGACCGGACCTTGGCCTTGCGACGCTCCGCATTGGCGGTTTCCTTCATCATGGCAAATGACCGCTCTTGATCCGCAACCCATCGGTTAATGAGATTGTCGCGCTCTTCAACCTCAAGCTGCAATTGCTCCTCCAGCACGGCATTGCTGTGACCAAGCTTCTCTGCTTCGGCCTGGGCTTCTTCGAGTGCTGTGTTGAGCCCTGAAATGCGTACATTCATTGTCCCAATCTCCTGTTCGTGATGCTGGCGCTGTTCCGCAGTCTTTTGCTCAAGGCCCGTGATGACCGACTGGTGTCCTTTTTCGAGCCTCTCAATTTCTTGCCTATGATTCTGAAGCTGCCTTGCACTCTCCCGTTTGAGGATGGTGATTTCGTCGGAAGCCGACTGACGTTCCTTTGTGAGAGATTCTATCGAGGCCATCAAATCACAAGTGCGAATGCGATTATGCTCAATGGTCTGACTTAGTTCGCGAATATATGTGTCACGCCTTTCAACCTTGGACTCGGCTGCGCGGCGGGCTTTCTCTTCGCCAGAAAGTTTGCTTTCTAATTTTGATGCCTGCTGGATGTGTTGATTTTTGCTGGCAGTGTTCTCTTCTTCCAAGCTGCTAACGAGTGCTTCCAGATTCTTGACATCCTCGCGATACTGTTCAAGTGCTGCGTTCAATCTCTGGATTCCAAAGTCTTTTTTCTCTCCCTCTTGTTCCATCTCCCGCATCCGCATCCGCATGTGGAGCATGTCCTTTGCCGAAATCTCTAGGTCCTGGGCCTTCTTCGTCGCGGTTTCATACCGAACCGACAACTCATTAAACTGGCCTCTAAGTGCTTGTTCGCGGCCTAGGGCTCCATCATGATCCGCACGTTCATTGCTCAAGTCTTTCACGAGCGATTCCACACGCTTCACTAATGCGCCAAGTGTGGACTTCCCGTCATGCAAACCCGTTTCCCCTGGCACTGCACGTTCGAGCTCGCTGCGTGCTGTATGGAACCGTGAGCTCATCTCCGAGAGGATTTCGCCCGTGCTGCTCCCAGAGAAGCCAAACGTCGACAGCTCCTGCTTTGCTGATTCCAGTGAGCTAGTAGCATCAGAGGCACGAGCAAGGGCAGAAGTAAGAGTAGGAACGATCCGGTCAAAGAAGTCGGGTGGCGGAGACGACTGGCGAAGATTATTTGCAGAGGCAGTATCATCAAGAGAAGTGACGTTAGCGTGCCACGCATCGAAGAGGTTCTTTTTCTCCTTTCTAGCGGCCTCAAGGTCCAGCTTAAGGCGGCGAAGCTCAGCTTCCTGGTGATAATCGGGTAACTGCGCTTGGATGGAAGAATCGACACCAGGAGCTGTATTTTCAAGCAGCGAAAAGCCATCAGGGATAGTAGGTTGATACTCAACACCTCGAATATCGGGCGAATCAGACAGAAAAACTGTGTCTCCATCCATACCAGTGTCGTCAAGTATGATAGTATCGCCGTTCGTAAGTTCGGATTGTGCATTGGTATCTTGGGCAGATGAAAACGAAATCTTCTGTCGAAGTCGACTAGTCTCCGCTTCCAGGTCTTCGATGTTCTTTGACGCCTCTAACGAGAGTTCCTCCTGAGCAGGGGATTGGTCACCATCAGAAGCACCCGAGTTCTTCGCAGTCTCCAGTTCTTGCCTTAGCAGTTCTCTCTCCTGCAATAGAAATCGCAGTTTCTTTTCATAACTGGCAGCATCGCGCTTTTCTCGCTCAATATGATTAATTTCGTTACTGAGACCCATCCGGCCAATCCTCCGCTGTACCCGGGAATCCAAAGCTTGACGCAAGGGTGTGAACTGCACCACCCGCTGTGTGTCTTTTCGCGAAACAGGAGTTGACCGTCGTCGGCGACTTGGAGTACCCGGCGCAGAGCCCGTACCCCCTCCGTCAAATGAAGTGCGCATCATAGCAGGCGTCAAACCTGTGGAAGGTCCAGAATCCGAGAAACGGACCTTCTTCCTGCTCTCTGGTGTAATAGTACTCGCGCTCTTCGATACATTTGCTCGCTTTCCAGACCGGCTCCGACTTCTGGTACGTAACGCTGGGGATTCTGTGGCGCCGGCGTTGGAGATGGAACTAATGCGTCGCTTTCTCGGGCTCCGCCTGAGCTCCATAGCTCTCGCTGTAGTCGCGGTTGTTCCCATATTTGTATATTGATAGGACCAGTACTCAGATAAAGATCTGAAGGTGCGATGTCAATATGCATGCAAGCAGTATGTAAATCTAGAGGGGTAACTGACAGGTCAAATAAGTCGACACGGTTTTGTCTATTTTCTCATCCAAGACATAATAAACAAACAATATATGCAGCTCCTTGCAGAGAGAAGGCGAAATAATGGTGTTGAATAAAGTGAAATGAAGAGTTAGAGCAGACAATAATTCCCAAAGGGGAAGCTTTGCAGGCAGCAGGAGGCACCTTCCCTTTTAGGACGCGTTAGGCGTCACCACATTTTTGCTGGGTAAACAATGTCATGTGACTGTCACTTACTATCTCAGGATATAATGCTTGTTATTCAAGCGTGGCAGGTACAAATGCATACAAGCACAAAGTATTCCACCTCAACATGCTCTCATGGATTTCGAGTTGTTTAGACCGATGAGAAATGTCTTATCTTATCAATCCGACCGTGCTCCCCACGTCCACCAACACGGTTGGATAGCCATACGACTACACACACAAACACTTCCAAGTATGCATTCTCTCTATGCAAATTGAACTGCTCTGAGATGTCTCGCTGACTGTTTGCTTTAGACCGTCGCACGGTATTGGCGGATGATGTCATCTGTTCCCCTCCTAGCGGATAATCAACTACCGGGAAGACAGAAAGAAGCGTCCTCTTCAACCACACGATCTGGCAAAGTGTTGACATAGTTAAAATACAATGGAAACAAACATCGAGCTGGGCTCGAATGACGATGCGGTTCCTGGCATAGAGGGGAATCTCTCATCAACCGAAGAGCTCTCACCCAATTCAGAATCTCGACTACTCCAACTACCTCCAGAACTCTTACAGCAGATACTATCCGAACTCTCAGTCCTGGACCTCACACGAACATCTCGCACCTGCCGCAGCTTAGCCGAACACGCTTCCAATAACCTCCTATGGGCCGATCTGCTGAATGCCCACCTACCTTTCAAAATCCACGACCCCGGACCATTTGCCTCGTTCCGCAGTCTCTACGCAGCATATTATCCTTGCTGGTTTATCCCTCGGAATAAGGTCTGGTTCGCGGACACGGAGCACACGGGAAACTTGATATTGGCGCGGTATGATAACCGACGGGGCGTCGTTGAGGCTTATCGAGTGGTAGCGGAACGAAGGAACCACGCTTTTCAGATTTGGGAGTGGAACCCGGATGTCATTATTCAGTCGTTCAATCCCAAAGTCAGTCTTTGGTTGGATGATCCGGTGTTGTTTTTGAAGAATACACCGTCTGCTGAAGGGCCACCGCGCACGCCGCAGTATCTGAATGGGGAGACCCGTATGCCTATGGCACTAGAGTATCACTACGTCTTCAACTCGTTTTCTCTATGTTCGAACAAACCTCCGAACCTGGAAATGGCCGTAGATCAGAAGTGGCCACCGCCAAACATCCCTAGTGACCAGCGGGTTTATCGAGATATGGATGAAGGTTTGTCGGAACGGGACGAACCGCCACGGCATATCGAGGGTATCTCTGAAATCGCATTTCGCATTCGACGATGGGCGCACTTCCGTCTAGGGATGCCGTTTTTCACCGCCGGGAATGGTGAAAGCCTTACGACCTTTGCGACGCTGGATCCTTGTCTATACACACCAACGAAAGAAAAACCGTACCAGGGTATATGGGTTGGAGACTACTCGGCCCATGGGTGCGAGTTCTTACTTTTCCTCCAGCGTGACACTACAGACGCCTCTACGGCATCAGCGGAAACGGAAAACACCGAGTGGATCCCGCATGGCCGTTTGGAAGCAATCAAACTTACAGGGGACCCGAATGTTCCTCGGGGTGAGATATCTTTCGCAGTTGAAGATATCGGACAAGGCGGGTTCGTTCGGATTGCGAACGACTCGCTCTTCCGGAACGCACGAGTCGTCCGGAGCGAGGGCCATGTTGCTGGGTTAGGTTTTCGAGATGGTAAGCCGGAGTACTCCGTTCTCCGTCCTGATAATAGTTCAACTATGGCTGACATACACAGATACTTGGCTACCTTCTCAGCTTATTCTCGAATCTACCGATTGCGTGGCCCATTACTGGGAATCAATGGGCCATATTTCGTATTTTCGACGTGTGGATATCGACGCCCTACTTCAGACATGATACGTTTTCATGATATACCCTTTTTCTGCATTGGACACTGCATTTTGGGCGTCATGGTCTGATTCTGCACGTTAGCTTACTTCCGGACCTAAATACTTTACTCTATAGCATCGATATGCACATGGCAGAAAAGATAAAACATATTAGTTGAGGTTTGTACTTGATGCTTGCCATAACAAGTCTGGAATACTGCAACAAATAAAGAAAATAGGTATCATAGTCGAAATTCCTAAACGCCCGCATTCAGAAGACCTCAGGTTCATCACTCATAGCCCTCTGCCGTGGCATCGAGGGCAACCCTATCCATATACACCAACAAAGGAAAACCTTAATCGCTCTTCTCCAACGAAACCATACCCATCCCATGTGCCCTTGTAATCTCAAGAGTAAATCACCTCTTCCGCTCAAACCACCCCGACGACCCCAAAACAAACACACTCTGATCCATCACCCACTCGCCCACGCCGAGATAGCTGTCGATCCACTTCTTAAAGTCTTTGTTCTCGGTGATCTTGTCGGAGTCGAGGCTGGGGCTGTCGAAGATCCCAGGCGTGGGATGAAGGGGTTAGCCTTTTCTTTTCTTTTTCAAACTTTGCTTTTTTGATAGTCATATGACTGCCATATGTGATATGCCGTAAGATTAGGACGGGGGGAGCGTACGTGAGACCAGTTGAGCGCTTGACGCCGGCGAGGAAGGCGGAGACTGCCGAGTGTTAATTTGGTTTCTTTTCTTTTGGAGCATGCTGAAACGCGCACGGGGGAAGGGGAAGGGAACGTACCAAGCACCGCGTCAAAAGCGTAATGGGTCAGACGAGCGAACTGTCACATCCATATCAGCGTCCATCCCATTCCGATCCTCATTCCGATCAAGCCAAACAGCCAAGACTAGATACGTACCACCATGATGACTGAAGGAAGGGCTACAGAGCACAAGTAAATAGGAATATCAAAGAAAGAAATTTAACGAGAAACGAGAGAAAGTGTACTCCGAGACTGAAGGAAAAAGTGAAGGCAGGTAAACTGACTCTGACTAGGCGGAGGCTGATCAGGTGGAGAGCTGAGGATGGACTGACTGACCGCCGGCTGCCCGATCGGCTGTCCACGTGACCATGGTGCATGTGACACCAGGTGGCTGGTGCTGGTGCACTAGCCATCTTGGGGTTAGTGCCAGGCAGCGAGGATTCTGTCACCTGAAAAGATGAATCAGCAGATCTATTGTTATCTGACCAATCAGAAAAGCGTATTTAGGATTAGCATCCGGATTCGGACTCAACAACTTTGAAACTGAGTGCCAAGAAGCGATCACCAAGGGCTTAACGAATTCATTGACCGGTCTAGATAGTTAAGAATGCCTAGGTGTTAGAGTACTACTACTATGTACTGTAGTGTGTAGCACTACAGACTACAGTTCTACTATGGGCAGTATGCGGGGCTCCGGAGATAGCAAAGCGGAAGCCCCAACGGCCAACAACATTTTCCCTCCCGCGCACACGCCCACCGCCCCTCGTTCAAACTCACCGGACAACTCTCTTCCTTTTTTTCTTTTCTCATCCCAATCGCTTTTTTTCTCTCCTCTCCATTCCATTTCTTATATCCTTTCTGACAGTATTCTGTCACCATCGTTTCTCTCCCCTTCTTCCGTATTATCCCAACTCATCTTCCAAAATGGCCGCCACCAACTCTCTCGACCACCTCAGCAACCGTATGAAGCTGGAGTGGCACTCCAAGCTCAACACTGAGATGGTCCCGGCCAAGAACTTCCGCCGTACCTCCATCATCGGAACCATTGGTATGTTTTGTTGTTTGCTCGGGATTGATTCTTCTTAATGGGGCAATTGCTAATGCCGATTTTTTCAGGTCCCAAAACCAACTCGACCGAGAAGATCAACGCGCTCCGCAGAGGTATGGAATACTCGATCAGGAAGGAAATCATAATGGGAGGCTGACAGTCAGCAGCTGGTCTCAACGTTGTCCGCATGAACTTCTCTCACGGCTCGTATGAGTACCACCAGTCCGTTATCGACCACGCCCGTGAGGCCGAGCAGGCTCAGAAGGGCCGTCCCCTTGCCATTGCTCTCGACACCGTAGGTTGCGAAGTCCTCGTTTCCAAGACACCACTGACCCCCCCAACAGAAAGGTCCTGAGATCCGTACCGGAAACACTGTTAACGACCAGGATATCCCCATCAGCGAGGGCCACGAGCTCAACATCACCACTGATGAGAAGTATGCCGCCGCCAGTGACGACAAGAACATGTGAGTCTTCCGCCTTGCCGTTGTCGGCTTTTCGTTGTCGCTAACAGGCTTCAAGGTACCTTGACTATAAGAACATCACTAAGGTGATCTCGCCCGGCAAGCTCATCTATGTCGACGATGGTATCCTTTCCTTCGAAGTCCTCGAGGTCGTAGATGACAAGAACCTGCGCGTCAAGTGTCTCAACAACGGTAACATCTCGTCCCGTAAGGGTGTCAACCTGCCTGGCACCGACGTTGACCTTCCCGCTTTGTCCGAGAAGGACATCAGCGACCTGAAGTTCGGTGTCAAGAACAAGGTCGACATGGTCTTCGCCTCGTTCATCCGTCGCGGCAGTGACATCCGCGACATCCGCGCTGTCTTTGGCGAGGAGGGCAAGGAGATCCAGATCATCGCCAAGATCGAGAACCAGCAGGGTGTCAACAACTTCGATGAGATCCTTGAGGAAACCGACGGTGTCATGGTTGCCCGTGGTGACCTGGGTATCGAGATCCCCGCCCCCAAGGTTTTCATCGCCCAGAAGATGATGATCGCCAAGTGTAACATCAAGGGTAAGCCCGCCATTTGCGCCACCCAGATGCTCGAGTCCATGACATACAACCCCCGTCCCACTCGTGCTGAGGTGTCCGATGTCGCCAACGCCGTTCTTGATGGTGCCGACTGTGTTATGTTGTCGGGTGAGACCGCCAAGGGTACCTACCCTTGCGAGGCTGTCCGTATGATGCACGAGACCTGCTTGCTGGCCGAGGTTGCCATCCCCCACTTCAACGTCTTTGACGAGTTGCGCAACCTTGCTCCTCGTCCCACCGACACTGTCGAGTCCATTGCCATGGCTGCCGTCAGTGCCAGTTTGGAACTCAATGCCGGTGCCATCCTTGTCTTGACCACCAGGTAAGCCTTCATTCTTGTGACCGATGAATTCTGCTAACTGAATCAGTGGTAAAACCGCCCGTCTCATCTCCAAGTACCGCCCCGTTTGCCCCATCATCATGGTCACCCGCAACCCCATGGCTTCTCGGGTAAGTGTCACCTCATTTTCATGTTGGAATCCCAACTAACTGGAATAGTACTCTCACCTGTACCGTGGCGTCTGGCCCTTCACCTTCCCCGAGGAGAAGCCCGACTTCAACGTCAAGATCTGGCAGGAGGACGTCGACCGCCGCCTCAAGTGGGGTATTAACCACGGTCTCAAGCTCGGTATCGTCAACAAGGGTGACAACATCGTCTGCGTCCAGGGCTGGCGCGGCGGTATGGGCCACACCAACACCGTCCGCGTGGTCCCTGCTGAGGAGAACCTTGGCCTTGTTGAGTAAATATAGACTTTCGGGATGTCAATTTTTCGCTTCTGGTGGACGACATTGTCATCACGCCAGGCATCGTAGAACCGGCCATCTTCCCCATGAAGACCGGAAGACTCCACAAAAAGAGCCTGGCTCATAAAAAAAGCAAGATCCAAGACCTGCTGCGGGACAAGTTAATCGATCAAAACCGTGATTACAGAGCAGGTCAAGGAGTTTTTTTTTTTTTTTTGATTATGGGATGCGCATGATAGGTTTCTTTTAGTTTTTTCACTTACCTTTGGGAGCGTCTGATCTGATTTCTTTTCTTGACATGTTTTTCTGTCAATTTTTTGTTTTCTTATAAAGATTTCGATTTCCTGACTGTTAGAGTCATGTATAACGAGAATAATGGATTTCTTGATAGATTCAGCTGTGTCGTCTTGTATCATGATCCCACATACAGAATCATCCCAATGGCCTTTTCAAGCCTTGAGAACACAAGAGAGCAGAGTAAATAGACGACGATAAAGCCACGAAAACCAGGATCCCAATCCTATTAGTAGTCCAATGCGGGGAGAAAAGTGGAAAGAGCAAGTCCCGAGTTCCAACCGAACCTCGCCATCGGAGTCCATACTCCTCTCTATGGCCGTCTCCCACAACAAGCAGCAAAAAGACCAAAAAGATAGAGGAAAGAGGGAGAAATCCCCCTAAATAAGTAATAAATACCTCAACAAGGGCACGGGCAAAGAATTCACCCCGACAATGTGAGTTTTTTCGTGTCATAAGTTGAAATCACATCACGGACCTCTTGCTGGTAAGTGGAATTCCCGAACGTTCCCGATGGCCGGATTTTGCCGATGCTGTGCCGTCCGGTGGGCCGAGATTCTTCACACAAAGCCTTGTTGTTGATTAAGAACGTTGAAGGGTAGAGCGTGTAGAGCATAGAGTAGCATATTCGCATAGTGGGAAACTAAACGACTGGGAGAGCGAGGTGGTTAGTTGTATCACTCTGTTATGTACTTGTATACCGGATAGAGCCTCGGATGTAGAATTCATATCATATGAATCGACCGGACCGGTTGCAGTCACTGCATGATATGCACGGTTGAGGCATATTCTGCAGTTGCATAGCGTGGTACTACGTAGTATTCTGCCGAGATAAAGATGCATGTAGCCAATGGCGAATTGCAGATGCTTCTATTTAACAATCTCCAAAACTGAACAATAATATGTATACTATGCCGTCAAGTAAAAGAAAACCTCCATACCACCAATGTACACCCTAAAGAACGCCATATATGTGCATGTGCATGTTTGTCTTATCATTATCATTATCATCAGTCACTGGCCTAGGAACCAGCAATATCATTCCCGTCATCTGCATCAGCGGCGTAGTTAACCTGATGTCCAACCCTCGGATGCCAATATACCGGCGCATGTTGGAATTGATGCCAGCAGCTGCACTCGTTAGCTCGAGACATATACAGCAACTAAAAGAGAAAAAGAGTAAACTCACCTCGGCGCCTGAAGCACATATCTCGCCATCGCCTCCCTAAAACGACTCTTGTACTCCTTCGGACTCGTCACGGTAGGTCGATTCTTGCCTCCACCAGCAAACCCGCGATCCTTGATCCACGACTCCAGTTTCTTATCCCAAGTGTACGTGCGGATACAATCGATGACACCGACGACTAGCTCCGACCGGCTTTCGTCGATGGCGATCATGAGCGAGTAGTCCATGACGTTCTGGCGGCCCAGGAACAAGGTGTCGTTCCAGACGCTCTGGCTGAGGAGTTTCTTGGAGTGCTCCCGGGTGAAGAGTGGTGTTTCGTAGATGAAGTCTACCATGTTTTCGTCGAGGAGGACCTCATTGCGTTCTCCTGTACTTTCGACTTTGCGGTTCCGCATTGAGCCCTTGAGGTCGAAGATGCGTTGTGGGACGCGGTCGTAGAATAGGTTCTCCATGAACAAAAGGTACCAGTTGAACTCGGTTCCCGTCGCTGGGTTCTTGATGATAACCTGGTAGAATCCAAACATCTTGGCAATGGCAGATGGCAACTCGTGGAAAAGCGCCTCCGACATGATCTGGAAATACCCTGGCGCGAACTTGAGGAACGCCTGCGTCTCAATAGGTGCCAGCGACTTCAGGATGAATCGATTGTCAAGCGTCTTCAAGAATATAGATTTCGTCTTGCCACCCTTGGAATCCCACTTCGCGCAGCGAGATAGCGACTCCACGATCCGATCTGCAACGCCGCACTTCTTCCGTAGGGCGTCGAACTGTTCAGCGTAGAACACCTTGCAGAGCATCTTGGCCTGCCCTTCCTGGAACTGGTATTTGAGATGGGTTCCAGTATCTCGCAAAAGTGCCTTTTCAACACGCTTCTGTTCCGCATCGTCTCCAATCGTTGGCTCCTCTTCCTCGTGGCGTTGCTGGATACTGGCTAGTTTCTCAGTGTAATCGCTGGAATCCAGGGCAAACGCAATCAAGGAACTTGGCTCATCTTCTCGAACAATGATGTCGCAGTCTGCGAATACATGATCCGACATGGTGAGCGGATATTCGAGAGGCGCCCATCCACTGGCAGAACGTTCGGACCAGAAGTTTGTCAGTAACTTCAAGAGCGTGCTTCTCTCGTGGTTCTTGAGATCGATCGAGTCCATAGGTTCATCATCTGGGGACATCTTTGGGATTTCTTCATTTGAGTCCATAATGTGAAGACCGTCTGCTGAGATTCTATCTTCGTCGCTGTGCTCGCCGTCAGATGCATTTGTCTCGTCAGTTCGAGCATGATCTTCATGCTCTGCTGGCTCTGCTGGCCCTGCTGGCTCTGTTGGTATTATAGGCTCTGACGGTTTATCTGTTGGCAGCTGTGGGAGAAGTTTCCTAGGCTCTTCTTCTGAGACGCGTTTTGGGAATTCTTCACTTGTCCGACTCGATTCCAAACGCGGCGCTGACGAGATAAAATCCTCCCCTTCACCAGAAGGCTCTCGTTCCTCAACCGCCTCCCGGACGTTCTTATACACCTCAACTATGGGCTTTGACGACGCTAAAGGATACGCGCGCGAATGCGTGCCTCTAGCAGCTCGACGCTGCATCTCACGCTGTCGCTCCTTCTCAAATTCCCGAGTCATCTGCTCAAAGTGTTTGGCTAAGTTGGACACACGCTTACGTGGAATGAACGAGTGACCAGACGGAAGTCTTCCGTGCTTGAGCGCAGTGAACCCAAGACGCTCAGTCAACTTCTTGTCCGATCCCTTCGGTTTGTCATGAGGAGGGTTCAGAGTTTCATCTACAACTTCTGAACCTATACCTGCCAGTCGAGTCCCGGTCCGACCTTTCTCCTTTTGAAGGTGAGCGGGCTGAGATTGTGCGCGGTATAACGGGGGCGATCTAGTTTTCCCACTACGCCGGAAAGCAGCTTCAGCAAGTCGTGGAATGGCAGACGGAGTTGGAGTGGTTGGAGTGCGCCTTCCAGGAATTTCGACGGCATCTTGCGGGGGCTTATCAACTTGTGGCTCTGCCTGCTCCTGGGAAGGACTTGTAGGAGGATTCTCACTGTCAGGAGTCGGAACAGGCTCGTGGCTGTCCATGGTGCTTGAGGGAACGTCCTGAGTCGCTGTAGGTTGTTCTGCCTGACCAGAAGGAACAGCTAGGTCCAAATGGCGCACTTCCTTTTGTGCCACGGCTTGCTCCTGGGGCGATGACCCCGTTTTCTCATCAAGCGATGGCGTGGTTGAATCGACCTCTTCTACCTGAGGGGTTTCAATCTCATTTTCTCTATGCTTCTTCCCAGAGTGCTCTTCAACAACAGAAACAAGCACGTTTTGCGCTTTCTCCGGCGAAAGCGTCATACGGCGCATTATAAAGGGTCGCCCATCCTCCTTATTCATTTCATTGTCTATTCCGGCAGGAGTGGTTGTCGGTTCTTCTGACGGAGCGAAAGAAATCGAAGCATCCTTGAAAATCTTTTTCAACTGAAGGGTTGCCAATCTCCTGATATCCTTCTCTGAAGGGAAGTAATTCTTCTCAAATTCCGTAAACACGTTGTCCCACTCAACGACCTTCTCCTGTGCAGAACGAAGAACTTCGTTGAACGGAATAAGTTCCCAATACCGAGAATTGGTATACTTCTCTTGTAACCGTCGAAGCAAGTCGGCTTGATCCTCGGCAGCCTTTCTGTTCAGTAGCTCGATTTCATTCTCGCACTGCCCAATGCGTTCTGGGACGACGCTCTGGACGTTGATCCCTCTCAGCCGGGCCTTGACAGAGACCATGAACTTGTTCAGTCGTTGCTCCATTCTCTGGAAGACTTCATTACGGAGTCGTAGGTCGTTGTCCACCTTCCAAGTAACCCGAGTTCTAGGAACAATGATCTCCAGCAAGTTGATTTTATCGTATTGGATCCGCAGCGCCATGTCTTTGAAACCAAAATAACGCACATGGTCGCGCTGCAAATCATGAGGACAGACGCCGGCTCGAGCATGCAAATTCTTGCTCCAGAAAGAAAGCTCCAAGTATTTCCCAAAGGAGTACTTCCAGGTACTATCCGACATTGGGAAAACCTGGGTCTCGTTTCCACAAATTTTGCAACAGCTCCACATCAAAATTGAGTCCTGCAATCCTCGAAGCTTTGAAGGATAGTGCTGAATGAGCACACTTAATTGAGCTTCACCATGCACGTATTGACGATGGTGCTCATACATGCGCCGTTCACAGCCGTTCGCCGTACAGATGCCGTTGGCAGTGTGACATAGATCTTCCACATATTGTCCTAACGTGCAATCTGGCTCGAAAACAGTATCGTCACCATGCTCATTGTAGAACTCAATGGCAAAGGAGTCCGGACCGGAACAAGGAATTGAAGTAGTTGTGCAAACAAGACTAAAGAGTACTGCGATATTCTGATGCGCGTACGGATCGAAGAGGTTGGAATTACTCCCAGACACGTAAGTCTCCCATTGCCGTTTTTGAGTCATATAGTGATGGAGCGCTCTGTCATATTCCGCATCATGGGCCGCACGCAGGACCTCTTTCACTTTGAAGGGCGCATCTTGGGGCGATTCATGGACCATCTCAGGCGTGATGAGTATGAACTTCTGGCCCTTAGTTTTCTCATCTGTTGAAGGATCAGAATCCACATCCTGATCCCGCAAACGTCTCAGATAAGCGAGTCTGCGTTCCAATTCTCTTGCACGCATGAGTAGGTGGGGAGGCTCGAATTTGACAAAGGGAGAGGCGGACAGAATTTTTCTCTCATGGTCTTGCACCATGTCTTCATAGTACGTAGGCATAGGGACATCATCGGGGACCTCGGTTTCTTCACTTGTTACCGTCAACTTCCTCTCAAGGGCAGGTCGTTCTCCTTTCTCATTTGGCTCTTGCTGAGCATTGCTTGTCGTGCCTCCTTCTTTGTACGTCAACAATGGAGTATTCGAACACGTTCCGGCTTCACCTTCCTTTGGCTCAACCTCAGATGAATTCGGTATCTTGGCGAATTCGTCTCTCATCACACAAGTCTCCAGCCTGAGATTATAGACCACATACACCATGAATTCGGTGATGCTCTTTACTTTCCCAAGCACAGACTTGTCGCCACCTCGTAGAACGATCGTACAGCCAAGCTCTTTCGGGCAACCAGAGATGTACATGTATGTCTTCTTACGACGGTTGTAGACATATGTCCTGACATCAAAGCTGCTGCACTCACTTTTCATCGGGGTGGTCACGAGTTTATCCATAGAGGTGATTATCTTCGTTTGTGTGCAACGGGACACTGCTTCAAGGACGGAAGACTTGACGTTGTAGGCTGTTGCGATATTGAGCTTTTCGAGTAGCTCCAGAGCCAATCCGGAAACATTCTTCTCTGCCAAAAGCAGGTTCGGCCGCAACGCAGCGATACGACTAACAAGATTCTCAAGGAACTCGCGTTCCTGACGGATCACAGGCTCAAGACTCATGAAGTGCTGCTGGTGGCGTGCATACTCAAGTGGAAACGTAATGATTAAAATGTTGGGGTTAGGGATGCTTCTGGGCATGCTCTTAAGAGCAACATTCTTCCTGAAGACTAAACCGGAAACATACGATGTGTCACCAGGTCGACCACCCACAATTTTCTTCAATTTGATGTAATGACGGATATCCATATCATCCCCATTTTGAACGTCCGGATCAACCTCATCAGCCGCCTTCAAGAGAATGGGCAACAGCGCCGTCTCCCAACTTTCGGGATGGGAGATTGACGCATCATTCAAAAGCTGGCGGAGGAGCTTTCGGACATGTTGCAAACTGGCCTGATTCATCTCAACAGGTGGTGCTCCAGCCCCTCTCATAGAAGAACTCCTTGTCATTTTGAATCCAGTCGAAGTCATTGTTGGGACCGTAGAACCTGTGTTCGAAGGTTCCTGTGGGTTACTGAAAACAACCTCTTTCGATGTCCTAGGTGACTGACGGATACTACTAGCGATACTCAAGTTGCGACGCCGGGGACGTGGAACATTAACGGCCTTCGAGCTGGCAATACTACCTTCATCTGCCTCACGACCCACAGTGCTTCGGTCACCGAACGCAGACCGGCCTTTCTTCATGATATTAAACAGCCCACCCAAGCCCGATTTCTCATTGTCGCCGCTACTTTTCGAAAGAGGACTTTCTGAAACAGCTGATAGCAAGCTTGGCTGCTCATCACCACTGGACGCATCATCAGAGAGATACTGCGCCAAATCCGGGTCTATTATATTGTCTTTATGGAAGGCAGGAAGTCGAGATTCACCATCGGTGTCTTCCGCTTGGCGTCGTTGAAATGGGGCACGTTCATCATGGTAAGGCTTGAAATTCCGAATGTACTGCTGCCGCGAGTGATGGCGCTTGTGGCCTATAGAATGTGGCCTTCCGCTCAAAGAGGACTTCAGCGACTTCGAAGATGTGGGTCTTGCTAATGGCCTGTCTGAACTGATCTCCAGAATGGCTGAACGACGATTATGTCCCTCGCCAGCACGTCTTGTCGCTGGTATTGCCATCGTCGGCGTCTTCATAACACTATCCACAGACTGAGAAACTATTGATGATGTATCGTCATCGTCGACAAGAGACATTCGGCGCGCATTCCCAAAACTAAGCTCAGAAACACGAGGGTTGACTGCCATGGGGCTCTGGTCACTATCCGAAAATTCGGATGAATCATCATCATGTGCATTGATCATGGCTTCGCAAGGCTTACACACCCGTATACTGCCTGGCTGTCCAAACTGGGTGCCTGGTATTGTAAGCGTACACTTGGAGTCGAATATCTGACCGCAGGTCCGACAGTGGTGTTTTCGCCGAAAGGTGGAAAAAGGCTCGCCACAATGAAAACAATCCTTAGCATTCTCATCACGCATCCAAAATTCTTTGCTCAATAGATTACTCCTCATATGTGGCGTGGCACCATCACCACCAGAAACCTGGGGGCGCTTGTTTCGAGAATTTCGACTCGGGGTGCGATCGAGTGTCGTATCTAGCGGTGCTATAGTAGATGACTTCGATATTGTCCCGAGTGACGGAGTTCCAGGTACCCCCTTATCAATAAGGCGACCCGGACTTGGTACTGTGGTCTGTTCTATAGATCTTCGTTTCGCTGATGCACCTGGCGACTCCCCAGCTTGGGTTTCGCCATCCACAAATGATCGTGAAGTTACGTGAGTTGGAGAGACTGGTTCTTCCTCATGGAGCGAGCCATTGCCGGCTTTTGGAGATTGTGTAACATTGCTTGTCGCGAGCCCTGAGTTTAATTCATCTAGTCGAGGTGATGCTGCCGAGCCGGTTCTTAATCTCTCTCGTGACAGATCCTCCGTCCCGTCCAGTGGGCGCTGACGCTTCTGAGTAGGTAAATCGGTGTCTAACTCAGAGAAACCATGGCGATCTGTGGTCCCCTCAGTCAACTGTCCACTCAAGGTGGAAGGCCTACTGATATCTGGAGCATTCGACCCCTCATTTTGAAGGCTACTATGGGGTTTTGCTGACAGAACAGGCGAGTGCGTCAACCGCGAAGAACTCTGACTGAACGACCCAGGGCGTGAACTATCACCTTTATTTGTAGCTGTAGAGTCCATGCTCTGTAGCGTATCGGAATGATGAAGAGGCTCCTTAACTGCATTTACATGGAGTTCGGAGACTGTTGGATCCGCAGTTGCAAAAGTACCGGTCGTTTTAGACAAGGGAGCAGTGGGCGACTTGATGGCAGGAGACGCAGAGACTGAAGCCTTGGAAGATATGCTGGCAGATTTGGAGGACAGTTTCGAACCCTTGGCCGGACCCAGGTGAATCGACGCATCTTGATTGCTTTGGAGTTGTCCAGGAATTGGTGAATGAAGCCTTGATCCCTGTGAGGAGTTTGGGTGCATGTACTGAGACTCCGCGGCAGTAGACCTAGCATCGGAATGTTCTGATAACGGACTCTTTACCCGGGAATTTTCTGATGCTTTATCCGGCTGTTTTCCCACGCCGCTGACTATATCCCTGACGCCACCCCGGAACCGACTATACAGCCCACTCAACCCTCCTTGGATCTCGCCCGATATGCTATTCTCATCCGTCGTGGCCGTCGGAGCCGGCGGGTTCGTAAATTCATTAAACACGGTAAGGGAGTCTGATTGATAAGCCGCATTATGGATTTGGTCCAATGCTGCGTTCAGGCTCTCTTGTTCTGCTTGAGTTGATAAAGACGCGCGTGAACCTCGTCGACCAAGCGGGAGGAATATGGAGGATGCGGATGGACTCGGGGTGTTTTGAGACTGTCGCGTGGACATTTTGATGCCGCTTAACGAGTAGGCGAGATACAAAGATCAATCACATAGATTATCATTAGATTCTAATCGCCCGGAGGAGCATTCGGGGTATAACTGCTGCGGAGTTGCCGTATCCTAGCTAGGTCAGCAGCCAAAGTTCTGGGACGAAGAAACCGAAGAGTGATTGGCTAGACATCGTAAGGGCGTTCTCAGATTATTGGGATAGATGTGGAGTTGGAAAAAAAGAAAGCAATATCCGCCCAGATAACGAGATGCAGTCGAGCGTCAGCGCTGCAGCTTCTCCAAATCGGGATATGCACGCCACAATGCGCCGCTGCCCAATGACGTGGTATGGTTAATGCAGAGTCACGGCAGAACGACGAAGGCGGTGAGGCGCGTTCGAAGCGCGTCACTTTCGAAAAAGACAGAGGGCCAGAGTCCTTGAGAACGTCGATCTGATATATTTTGCTTGATTGAAATCTGCAGGCTCCTTCACACTGCTCACGCTGGAGGCATGATGGCTTGTGCATAATGAGTCCAGACCTCACATTTCCTTCTGTTACAATGCAACATTTCAACGGCCTGCTTGAGCCACAATCGTTTAATGATTATGAGGCAACGGATATCTTAAAATCTATTCCATTTACATGATGGACGACTCTATAGGGGACTGGATTGCCACATTGGTTCAGCGATGTCTATCGTTTTACCTAGAAGGGCCAGGCGACGCCGATTTAGAATTAGAGGATGATGGAAGTAACCTTCGTTTTACAAATCCCATCCCGAGATCGGCTGTGATCTATCAGGTAAGGGTGTCGCTAACCTTGAGCAAGGCCAGTTATACTGATTATATTTGTTTCTTGTCAGTACCTCAGTCCAAGAGAACGGCGCGTACAAACTCTGAAGTTGATCGACGAGAATACTCAGATTGAAGCCATCCTCTCGAGTGACTCGCTAGATGCATACAATCTGGAGTCACCAGATCGTCCACTCGAGTATTATAATCCCACACAGTATCGCATTAAGTCGGAGCGTCATGAGATTGTCTTTGAGTATTCAATGTCCCGACCGAAAGTCCACCTTTTCATCAAGAGATTTTCCATAGAATGGGACCGAGGAAAGGTCACACCTTTTCAGGCGAGAAAACAACTGAAGAAGCGCGGTCATATCAATACCCAGATGAACATGGTATTTGGCAGAGTTAAACAGGCACAGCGCAGGCTAGACACGGCAGATTCAGCAGGTAGTTCCGAGGGGTCTTTCGAGTCTCAAAACGACAATGATTTTAGGCAACAGTTTCCTGAGGAGGATGACTCCGAGACTGGAATATCCCAAGAAGTTTTTATGTCCCAAGTACCGTCTAGAGATCGCTTAGCTGCTTCGAACCGTGTCCCAAACGTCGACCATCGACCTAGCGTTACTGAGAATGTGACGATGAGTAATGCGTTAACGGTTCTTGGATCTCCAGAGGATGCAAAACTTGGTAGCAAGGATATGCCGTGGTTGCGCTTGACAGAGCGGGAAATAACCGAGCTATGCGGTAAGCTGAAGCAGACTGCGGAGTGGCATCCCAGTGAGGACTTGATAAACAAAGAACTTGCTCTGCGTGGACGTGGATTGGAGGCATACAAGACTGCCAAGGCACGGGCGGACGCTAAAGGAGCGGAGTTTGTCGACTGTGATGGTGTCGAGAACAGTTCAATTGCAAGGGAACTTAACGTGAACAATCGTAATAAGGGCCAGGACGAGGCAAATAAGCCAGAGAAACCGAGCCTTCCAAGGGAACACCAACTCAACGTTCTTACTAGAGAACAACCTACTCAGTGCAGTGCTTCTGCCAAGGATCACCAAAGAGAATTGCAACATGCTTCATCTGCCGAGAAGCCAGCTGGACAGCCATCAAAAAACTATTTCGATAGACAAGACACTGACCCACGCAAATCCCAATCGAAATCAGTCTCGACTGGGAAACAACAACTTGGTGATAATCATCCAGGTTCCACTGAAACTAAGAGCGACCCAAAGCCGGCTAGTAACCGGACATTCTCACCAACTCCTTCCGAAGTGGAATTGCCTACGAGTAGGGTAGTTGATATTCGAAGTGCAAAGACTCACAAAGATCCCCGAGAGAGTAAAAACAATGCCGAACGAAAATTAACAGTAACCCGTTTCGAAGAACCAATCAAGGAAAGCGTGGAGACAGGAAACACGGACTCGCATCCAACGGAGAATACTTCGAATGAGCCTGATGTAAGAGGTTCGGACAGACAGTCAAATTCTGACAAGCAAGATCCTTGGAATGGTCTGAAGAGACTTCGAAGTCGTGATGTCAAGGTACCTAGGGATCAGCATAAATTGCTAGAAGATCATCGTCAATGGATGCCTCCTTTGGCAGGAAAGTCAGACCCGCGAGGGCATGTACCACCTGACCTACTGGCGCAATGGAATCGAATTGTATTGCTAAGGACTACTCGCGCAAATGAAGGAGAGCAAGAATTGAAAAGCTCGAGGCTACAGGCATTCGATAGTCGTGATTCACCTTTCGGTGATCCTGATTCTGTACTCGAAACGGATTCTGACGGGGGAAGTCAATATTCTTGGTCTCAAAGCCCACCCGAACGCCGTCCCGGTCACGAACTTCCAGCAAACGGTCAACTTCCAGCAGACAGCCCTGTGTCAGACAGGCGGAAAGCCAAAAAGTCCAGCTCGCCACGCCCAGGGGAAGGCGTCAGAGCTGAAGACAAGCTTCCTGAAGATATCGATACGGACATCCATGCCAATAATGAACAGGACAAATATACAACATCTGAACGGTCCGAAGCGCATCAGGCACTCACACGGAACTCGAAGCAAGTTGAAAGTGAGCCAGCGAACGCAAGTGTTCCGGAGCCAACACCTGCGACTCTGACTCGAAATCGCGAGGACGATTCTGATAATGAAAGCGACGAATCCGCTATGGATGCAGCGGTTCCATGGCCACTAGGCGACAGCTCGCAAGCAGAATTGCCGACCGAACGAACCGACCACGAACCTACTAGTTCGAGCCAATTGCTCCCCCAACGAGACAGACATGAACATGTCCAAGTTGTGGATACGCCTGCTGTAAACCTAACCCACCGAAATTCTGAGAGACCAGCTAAGGAGAATGCCACCAATGTTCAGCAAGAGTCTTCCCCAGCAGCAATATCGTCATCACAGTCACGGATTTTCAATACACATGCTAGCCATGCTCCATCCATGCGCAGTCCATCTCAAGATCTGCATCTTTTGTCTCAGACGAACAAGGACAATGAGATCGACATCATGGGCACGCAAATGAGTGGTGAGAACTGGCCAACGCAATCGACTTCTAATTCTCGTTCTGGGTTTGTCCCAAATTCCTCTGGGCCAGAACGCAGAGAATCTGTCGATATCGGGACCGAAACGGAGGGAAATCCGGAGTTGCGGACCGAAGCTCGTACGCCCTTGGATAATGACCGACAAGCGGCCAAGAATTGGACGGAGTTGCAGAAATTAATTGGTAGCGAAGCACTAGAGGTTTTGCAAACAGAGGACCGGAGCTATCCGTATACAGCCCAGCTGCGCAAACTTTTCAAAGACGACTTGAACGAAGGGATTCGAAAGTTGATACAAGCGGTAGTAACGAGGCTTCGGAATGTGCGGTCAGGCATGCTAGCATTCCCCAGGATTCAATCCGAAGATGCTTGGGAAGCGGAGAAGATGTCGGGAGAAGAGACATCGGACAGTGAGCTCGCAGAACTGGGGTTGATGCGGGGCCCTGGAGGTCTGCCAGTGCGGAAGCAGGATGTTGAGGAGAATGGCCAGGATGTGGATGCGGAACCGGAGGATTACGAGGACTGCAACGGCGGCAATGTGGTTGATAATGGAGTCAGAGAGGATGATAGAGAGCCGCAGACCACTGAACCCGACGAGCAAAAAGTACCCCTGACGGCTCTGATCCCATCAGACGATGGAGACCTTGGCACCACTGTCCCAAGCTCAGCGTGGGTCTCGTCTATGGGTGGCGCAACGGAAGACGTCAAAGTGCCCAATCTCAAGCGCTTTGCGTCTGTCTTTGAGACAGAGGAAGCTTCCCCATCGAAGCGGCAGAGGACCGAACCCATCGGAGGCCAGGACGCAGAAAGAATCAGGAGAAGACAAAAAAAGGGCCCAACATCCAACGTTATGAGCCGTCGAGAAAGCTACATCAACAGCACCGCAAACCGGGCTGAAGCCATGCGAGCCTATGAAAAGTTTCGATCCGACTACCCGTTCTATTCAGGGGAGTTCTTGCATTTCATTGAATTGTGCTCGATGCTGCAATCTCTTCGAGATAGAGGTTATCTGAAAAGGTCGTTTCTGTGGGATGATTTTATCATCATGCACCTAGATCAATACCCCACCTATCTGCAATTGTGTCGAGAGATGGATGCCAAATCTGTAGATTATGAGGAATACTTTTCGACGCATTTCTCCAAGCCAACCTACAAGAAGCGAAGTCTCGATGCCGATGGAATCGAGGTGTCAACAGCTCACTGGATGGCCACCTGTCAGTCAAGAGCAGCAGCCAGTCCATCTACCTCCCGTAGCCAAACAAATGGCATTCTTACGACCAGTTTTGTGAACAGATTTTCGGCGTTCCATGTGCATTCTTCTTTCGGGCCAGGGACACAAGATCAAACGGATATCGAAAGTGATCATTTATCAACTACTGCGTCGTTCCCACCAACCCCCCTTAAGAAACCGCAACGCAATGCGCCTACGTTTGCGCAGCGTCTAACAGTCGATGAGCCGCAATTGAGCGAGCAAAGTTCCCGCCAGCCCTCTCGTCAATCTTCTCGCCAACCCTCTATCGATAGGGCCAATAACCCCGAAGCCGCCGATTTTGCTGAGCCGAACGCTCCAGAGCCGGCAATCGATGAATTTGTTGCCGAAGACCCCATAGATTATGACTCTGCGATGGACGAACTCGATGTTAGGAGACAGCTGCTGACGGAGAACGCCCAAGCGCTATCTGCTGAGCAGACCACTACCGACGAGGTTATGGCTGAGGGTGATACAGTCGAAGAGCCCGCTGCAGGCAAACCCTCGGAGATAAAATCGAATCTTGAGCTCTCACGTCCCGTAGTTACCCGCGGAATCGAGGATGAGCTTAGTATACCTGAAAGCGATCACGAAGACCAAGGCCATGATAAACAAGAGCAAGAGGTATATGATGAAATGGAAGAAACCCACTCTACCGCCAGCATCGAGCTGGGTGACGAAGGACCATTTACAATTTCCCGGGAACCTCGCTCTGAAGCACGAGAGCCCGAGGTCGAGAGTGCCGATGAAGGCTGGTTCGCGTCTCTTCGACATATTCGCCCACCGACAGGTCCCGTCTGGTCCGACGATCCTAATACTCCGTTCAAGTTGTGGGCGCGGACAGACCAAAACGTCAAGGTCGAGGTGTTGCGTCGTGGCGGCAGATACCGCGATGTAGACGATAAAGGTATCATTCAGCGGTCTACTACGCTTCGTTCAAATTCCTAACGATTTCCCGTTTCCGTGGTCACATTCGTGGATCTCCCTTTTATCTGCTATCCCTTTAATAACTCTGATGCTTATTCTTTATGTGATATCCCATATGACGGTGTTTGTTTTGATTGATTCGTGCTGTACTATACAAATAACATTTATGCTCAAATTAAGTGACATGAAGCTTGCTTGTAGCGGCATAGAATAACAGCCAGTATGGCATCGACAGCAAGAAATGGTACTGGTATCCCGCCTCACTGGCCCTTGTCGAAACGAGCGTTAATGAAGCGAGGACTTGGTACGACTAAGTACACAAACAGACAAATGGGTTGGAAAGGACAAGCAGCACTAATCTGCGCGATATGGGGCCAGTACTGGACCAAAAAGGCATAAGACCAAGTAAAACTTACAGAAAATAAGTAAATGGCCTTTTTCATTCACTCCGAACACCTATTTTGCCTATTTTGGCTGCACATCTATCGTTACCGTTCAAGAGCCCGCATTTTGAAAGGTAGCACACGGTCCTTGGTGCTGTCTTCGCCGGCGTCGTCTGGGGATCCAAAGCTATATCTGTAACTGGATGTCGACACATCAGGAATCTCTATATAGCTTAAGGGTAAATTAAGTTACACTCTCTTTGTTTCTGCATCCCAAAAAATATGTTCGAGTCTCCATGGGCCGGGGATAACACCGGCTTCGACAAACTGTTTGCCATTAGCACCACACCTACTGAAACCACAATATATATGAGGAAAATCACACGCCCGAGCAATTCGAAATGCCTCTGATTTCTTGTACGACAGGAGACGAATTCTAATAAACAGACTTTACACTACAATGTACAATCTTCAATATACTCAAGCTACACACCCGGCATCGGGTCAATTAGAATGTAGATTATGTAGCCACCGTCATCCTGCGGATCAACCTTGTAGTTGTGCAAGACAGGAGCAGACGTGCAACCGTTGGAATTAAGCTTCTTCCGAGTCTGGAACTCGTCACTGACATCGAGGGGAATTCTCGAAGTGGCTTGTTTTCGCCTTTCCTGGGCGGGCTCGAATTTGGAGCCAGCGCATGGAATTCCGAACTGGAGTTAATACATATTCTGCTGGATTTCACACAGAAATACTGCATCATGACCTTCATTGTCATTAACTCATCTGATTTCACATCCTTGTACGAGAATACCCCGAGCGATATAGAGCAAGGACAATCAATTTTTGTATCACACTTATCGTTCTGATGAATTCCTCGCCCAATTCTTCAGTCAACGCCCACTTTGAGGGTTGCCCGGAGCCAAAAGAACCTGTCTTCCAATGGATGAAGTAAAGAAGAACAATTTGTCGCTCATTTTGGATTGAATTCAGGAAATGCCGAAGTTTCTGACATTCAAGACTCCAAGGTTGTCTGCAAATAAGGTGTATGTATTTATAGTGTTTGTCATAGTCTATTAGGAATCGCGTCCAACACATCCATTACCATAGACTGGAAGAACATAAACCATGGTAATAAGAAACTTCTAAAGGAAGACCGAAAAGTTCTAGAAAGCATCATGGTCGTGGTATACTGCTGTATCCTGCTTATTTTAGGGTGGGTCATCAGGATAATCAACTTGCATTAGCGCCATACTAAATATGGAGCCATACTGACCAGGCCAGAGAGGTATATAACTGTTCTATCCTGTCATGTAAGTTCTTTCATTTGATTGTTTTTTTTTTTTTTTTTGAAGCTGATTTTATTAATTTCTTGTTAACACAAATACTACTCTTTAAAATGCAAAATTATACACACATCGGCCCTGTTGATTGCGACAAGCCCTTCAACGTCAAGAATCTTAAGGGCAAAACCGCAATTGTAACCGGAGGTATGAACGCATTCTAAAGTCTTCCTATACAACGGTATTAATGAATACGGAGCAGGGGCCAACGGTCTTGGTGAAGCTTATATTCGCGCCCTTGTTGCTGCAGGGTATGATACTGTCATCATCGGAGAATTGGTGGCTGGCTAACAGTCCAGAGCAAATGTCTGCATTGGCGATCCTGACGTGGAAAAGGGAAGCAGGCTAGAAGAAGAACTCCCTGGGTACAGTTCAAAATCCCATTTGGCTCTATTTGATAGCATCACTGATAAACCACTGCTCGAAGAACCAAGTTTATTCCCTGCGATGTCTCCAAATGGGACGACCAACTCCGTCTCTTCCGCGAAGCAGCCTCCTCCTCTCCGACAGGAAAGATATCCTACGTCGTCGCCAATGCAGGGATCCACCGCCAAGACGAAATCTTCCTAAACTCTGGCGATGACCAAGAACTAGACGAGCCCAATCTAGCCACTATCGACGTGAACATCAGAGGAACCCTCTATACGACGAAACTAGCCACACATTACTTCATCAAACAGAACGGACAAAAGCCGTCGTCTGAACAAGAGGATACGTGCTTGGTTCTGATCGGCTCGGGGGCAGCATTTCTGGACTGTCCGCGGGCTCCTCAGTACTGTGCGAGCAAATGGGCTATGCGGGGGATTATGCACTCGTTGAGGAGGACGGCTTTTTACTATGGCAGTCGGGTGAATGTCATATCTCCATGGTAAGCATCAATGCTGTCAACAAAGCGACAATAACAGTTCATTAGCTCACGAAGATGCAGGTATGTCAAAACAAACATTCTGTCCGACGAGGCTTTCGCGCACGTTTCCAGTGTCGGAGTACAGTTTGCCGAGGCGGAAGACGCAGGTCAATGCCTACTGATGATCCTCAGCGACACAAGTATCAATGGACATGCGATCTTTGTCTCTGGAAGAAAATGGGCTAGCAAAGGGTATATGGATTTGGATCTGGATGATCATTTGGGCAATTCAATACTGAATGAGATCCAAGAGGACCAGGTGAAGTCGGCACCTGTTTCTCTGGGGTTGTTTGTGTAGAATAGTGTAATGTTCTTGGATAATGCTTAATTATACGAGGGGCTTACCAGCCCACTAGTTCGATTGGGTACTTTCTGCACTGGCAACATAAAACGAGCTACAAGTAAGGGTCTGACTCTTGGCAGATGACAGGCAAAGATCCTCCAGGTAGACCGGCTAGTAACTCTACCCGAGATGACAATTTGTTCCATGGGTAAAAATGTCCCACTTATGCAAGATGCTTATTCTCCTAAACCTAATGCGGGATGGTGGAGTATCTCTGATGGCAATCGACGCGGAATCCGGGGGTAAATGGTCAATGGAAGAAACATTTGCACCACTGCTATGCGCAGTGTTACCAGGCCAAGCATCCAAACTCCGAGATAGACGCTAATCAATGCAAGTGGATGACAAGATGCCTTATCTACTACGCAAGCCGTGCTTGGCATCATGAGATGACTATTAGGTACGGTGTACGTAGTTTTACAACGAAGTCTGGGAGGCATCGCATAATTATAAATTGCTGCTTCCCACGAAGTCTGAGAAATCTGAACCTTCACTTCCTCATCAATCATCTACCGCATCCAACATGGCCCTCGCCAACGCAACCGCCATGAACGCCACAATGCGCGCCGTCGTCTGGCAAGGAAACCCCTACAGCGTCAGCGTCGTCGACCTCCCCAAGCCAACCATCGTCAACCAAACCGACGCCATCGTCCAAATATCGCGAGCAGCTATTTGCGGCTCTGACCTGCACATCTACCGGGGGACGAACGAGGGGATGCCAGCTCCATTTGGTCTTGGCCATGAGGGTGTTGGATATGTGTCTGAGGTTGGGGATGGGGTTAGCTCGTTTAATGTTGGAGATCCGGTTATTGTTCCGTTTACTGTTGATGAGGGACATTTGCATACTGGACTTACGACGCAGATGTATGGGGGGTATGGGAATGGGGGTGATATGGGTGGGACGCAGGGTAGGTGCTTGCATTGTTTTGTAACTATTTTGTCCAGCATAAGCTAACAAGTATTTATTCTTCCAGCTGAGTATTTGCGTGTCCCATTCGCAGACAATGGCTTGATCCCAATCCCTTCTCTCGAATACACCAACTCGACCACAAATGAGTCGGTCTCCCTCCTCAACGACTATGTCATGCTCTCCGACATCTTCGCCACCGGCTGGACTTCCCTTGATTATTCCGGCTTCCAAGCCGGTGACACAGTTGCAGTCTTTGGAGCCGGCCCCGTCGGTCTGATGGCTGCGTATGCAGCCATCCTGCGCGGTGCATCAGCCGTCTACGGTGTCGACTATGTTCCCAACCGCCTGCAACTCGTCGAATCTATCGGAGCAATCCCAATCAATTTCCGAGATGCAGACCCCGTACAGCAAATCCTCGCACTCGAACCGAATGGCGTTACCCGCAGCGTTGATGCAGTCGGATACGAGCAAGTCAACCGGAACCTAACCGTTCAGTCAGATGTCATTATCCGGAACATGTTAGCCGTAACTTCTACCGGAGGCGGCTTGGGTACTGTGGGTGTTTATAACCGTGAATCGAATAGTACGGCGACGGCACCGCGTGCTTCAACTGTGAATACTCATGTGGATTTTTCTCTTGCGGATTTCTTTTTTGGGGAGCTCACTTGGGGCGCTGGGCCTTCGGATCCGATTGACCTTGCTCCGGAGCTTGTGCATCTTGTTGCTTCGGGGAAGGTGAGGCCCGGGTTTATCGTTAGCGATATTATTGATATTGAAGATGCGCCGGATGCTTATGCTAGGTTTGAGAGGCATGATGCTACTAAGGTTGTGATAGCGTTTGACTAGTAGAGAGAATCTTCATTTGAAGGTGACTAGATCGATATATATATTGGGGTGGTTTGATGGATCGGGAGCTCATAGTGTAAATAGCATCAAATATAATACCCCTCTGCCGCATTTTTACTCTCCAGAAGCAAGTATCCAAAAAAAAAAAAAAAAAATTGATACTCAGGACGCACCAGCCAAAGTTGACAACGCAGTCCCAATACCCAACCGATGCTCCCCACGCGCTCCTTCGCCAACAGCCCCATGAGGCAGCTGAGGTCTCTCACCAGCCGCTCCCAGAAAATGATGACTGCCCTGATCCCCGCCAGCACATTGATTAAGTGGTATATGTTCTTCTGCCTGTGCCAGCTCACTTTTATGAATAGATTCGGACGGGAGAAGGACGGAACGATCGAGTGCGTAGGGCAGTCCACGATGACGGCCACGGATTTGCATCGCGATAATTACTAGTTTTGAGATTGTCTGGAAATGCCCGACGAATGAGGTATTTCCTGTAGTGTATCCAAGTGAAAGCCCGATAGTGCCATATGCAGAGACAATCTCGAAAAATACAGCAAAGATGTTAAACGAGGGAAGTTTGGAAATGGACAATCGACCACCTTCGACAATTGCTATAATGAAAAGACCAAGGAAGATGTACCACAAGTCAGAGCCTAGTTGTCTCCGCAAATGAATGCCAACAAAACTTGGTTGCTTGGGGTTTCGATTCTGTTCATGGTCGTCTGCGCTGGTGTAGACCCCGACACTCCGCTCTTCGTATACGTTGGTACGACGCACGGAGATGGCAATTGGAAAGACGGAAATATACATCAGTACCAGGTAGCAGACGAGGGTACCTGGATGTAGATTGGAGAGATCGATGATGGAGAAGCCTGCGGTTCGTGTTGAACATGCTTGGAACAAAGAATCGACAAAACGAGTACCCGATGACATGGTCCCAATTTCAGGATTGTCCAACTTGTAGTAGAATGAAAGTCAGCATATTTGGGCACGGTACAATATATAATGCATTACTTACATTGAGCACGACAAGTACCACCATGTTCAGAACGTTGAGAAGGACAACTGTAGCAAACAGCCACCAGGTAGCCTTCTGTGGGAAAAGAAGGGTGAAGCATCGCCGAGGATGGTCGAGCAAAAAAAGCAACTCGTTCCAGAGCGGAGTGTCCCGTCTGACAACCATTGAAAGTATCCAGATAATGAACCGTAGCATACAGGGAAAAGCGGTGTTCCCAATAATAACCAAGAAGGACATGATAAGAAGCGGAAAGGCTGCTTGTTGGAAAGACTCCATTGAATTTGGTGTCATGGTAAGACCGAAATCGTTGAACGCAGACCCAGCTGTGAAAACACCCCACCATGGTTGCCCTTGACCAGCTTCATGGATGACAGGGCCATACTTCGTGCTTCTTATAATCCATGGCACCAGGCATATTACCCCGAAGACGTGGAAGAAAAGGTAATAAGATATTAAGATAACGGCCAATGTCTTGAGTGAGCGGTATTCGATGCCTCCAAGTTCGTCTCGCTGAGCTTCATTCAGGCCGATGAATGTCGAGTTCCGTCCAGGTCTCGCGTTCCAGCTCAAATACGGCGTTTCATCTCGGCTTCCTGCCTCTAAGACCACTCCTGGCTGTTGATTGGCAGAATCGTTGTCTGAACTGCACCTGCTGGTGCCAGCTGCAATATCGTCATTCACCAGACTGCTTCCGCTGCTTCCGCTGCTTCCGCTGCTCCCATTGTTCCTACTACTCCCGTTTGACCTCCTTTTATTGTTCTGCTGTTCCACATCAGGTGAACTCCTCCCCGATATAGACCCAGTCCGGCGTATCACCTTGATGCTCTGAACGAGATGCTGAAATCGTTTCTCGAACCAATATATCCGAACGAAGACGACTGCCGTATGGATAAAAATCGGACTGGTCACCATTGGCACACAGTATATCACCACCTGCTGGTAGGTTTGCATGTCGTTTAGATCCACTGTATTCAGCCCACTCTGGGTAGCCGCCGCACACCCGAAGAACAGTGCATCGGTATAGGACACATTTTTGGCAGGATAGATTATGATTGAAGTCACTATCGTCCACAGCAAGATATAGGCATAATGGATCGTGATAAATCTCGGACGAGCTATGCTCTGAAGTGCTCCTCGTAGCTTGGGTGCAATTGATGTCTGAATTGTAGTATTCAACCTGCCTGTTTTCCGGAAACACCGTTGGAACGCAGAGATGATGCCGGTCATTTATTCGGATCCTCGGGCAGCTGCCGTTGAGCCATGTGTCGATACCCGTTGTGAAGATGGTTACCAGTAGACATTATAGACGAGTTGGGTGTGGGATAAAGGGGTGAAGTCAGTTAGAATTGAATTGAGAAGATCGACGAGTATAGAGGAAACATGGAATATGATGTCATGGTGATGCTAGGGCTGCCAGTTACCCGTTTGGGAGGTCAGTCGCATTTGGCCTAAGGCAACAACTTGTGTATCTGCCAAACAGGGCCCTATTGACCGAAACGAGTGACTTGAGGAACCTCGCGTCTTGTTAAAAGAATGATCAATATCAGTCACTGTCAGTCAGGATGGAGTGGAGGAGATAAATATTCATGAAAGCTTACAAATACTGTGATGCAAACGTCTATGCTGTTCTTCGAGCATGGGGAAGTGGCCAAATATTCTCTTTTACTTCTGATGAAAGGTGGTCCTCCTCACTGCGAGATCTGGTATGCCTTCCGTTTTGTTGCTGATATGAACTTGGGCTCACAGCACAAGGAGCATCACCATCCTGTTCCCACGAAAAGGACTCGAAGAGATTTTATTGAGGAAAACAAAGGATCTGCTTCTTGGCCAACCAGGTACAAATTCCAAAAAAAAAAAAAAAAAAAGAAACACGATTGGTTCTTGAAGAGATTCCTGTATCTTAATCCTATTTGATTGGAAAGTTTCTTTTAGAAAGTTCCTGTATATATGCAGAAGCCAACACAATAAACATTGTGTCTCTAAGTACAGCATTCCGAATCCATGGCCTTGTTAATTTATATAGTGGTGTATATTTACAAAACTCCCCAGATACATTTTCAGCAACCGCACAAGCTGTCAGACGAAGAGTTCCATTGATGTCACTGCAGAGGGCGCTAAATTTTATACGGATTGCTGTTTTTTCACGGTCAAGCTCGATCTCGAAGTTGTCGATTGCGTCGTTCATTCCGTGGGAAGATGTGGTTGATATTCATCTCGCCCTGGGCCATTCAGGCCTCCAGCTTGCTGTCAGTGGCTGTTTTGTTGTATTGATTCCACACAATGAGCATATGAAGGTTATAATTAAAGAATTAATGATTAAAGGAATACTTGAAAGAGAGATGCCCTTTTATGTTGATGAGTGCGGATATTCACCTATTATGGCTGTGCAGGATGAAGTCTGCCTTGGTGCTATTCAAAACATCCCAGCCTCCAACAAGAATACTCCCTCTATACTAGCCTCGGTGACTTCATTCTGCCGTTGAGAAGATTTAGGAAGGATTCGTCATTATGTTGTTGATTCATAGCCCTTTTTATCATTTGATTAGAATTGATTCAAATAGATAAACAAAGTCCTGACGTCTTCTTACTCGCCCCTTCTATGGACCCTTCACATTGGAAGAGTTGCCCAGACTGATTAACCCACCCTATATCTGCATCTGCAATCTCACGAGGGCTTTCCAGGCGTCAGATAATAGAAAACAGCACTTCCACAAGCCGGTAAGTTCGTCTGCTCGAGAGTCAGTATTCTGAAGAACTACAGATTACTATAATTAATTAATGATATGGGAATCAGGAACTTTAGCAGCCATATAATACAGTCTTTATAGTGGTCTATTATTGTGATGGGCTCGGCTAGTAATAAACGAAAATGAATTTCAAACTAAACTCGGTTACTGGTGTATTTGACCCTGGACCTCAAGCTCACATGCCCTTGCTGTAGGTGATTAGCCTAATATTAGAAAGCATATTGAAGTTCTGTCGGCTGATTAGCATGAATTGCCAAAGGATTAATTTCTGTCCTTAGAGCTCCAAAGCTTGATAGACTGCCGATGTACTTTTGTAGCTACGGTTAAAAGGCATGTTTCACGCGTAATAGTTCTGGCTGTGGTTCACCGCCTTCAATAACATAATAGCAGAACGCTGCCTGGTAAATGCCGATTGTACAGTAACATATTGTAATTGGATCTTGCGGATAAATCCAATCCGCAAAATCCACTCTAATGGGAGCCGTTTCTGGCGCCCCGCTAACCGTCACAACTTATACATTCGAATTTTTCCTTCTTAGCGCACAATTTGCTTCAAGTAATCCCCTAATAACACAGCTTCAATTCTCTCTTTTGTCTCACGATATGGATTTCCCGATTGCGGCAAACGTTCTTGGTACCATAGGCGCCGTAAGTTTCTCGCGTCACTACCATTGTCTCGGCTAACCCGTTCATGTAGGTTTGCTGGTCTATCCAGGTTAGGGAACCCTAACAGCGGAAAATAATGCGGCATCATACTAACAAGCCAGTAGCTGATGCCCCAAATAATTGTCAATTACCGACGACACGACACTGAAGGTCTACAGCCATCGATGATGATATTATGGGCTGCTGCCGGTGTCCCTCTTGGGGTATATAATATCGTAGAAGAACAGAATATCGCGCTCCGAATCCAGCCACAGATACTATCTTTTCTGAGTCTTGTCACCTGGGCGCAGTGCTTCTATTACGGACGAGTAAGAATGCTTCCATGGCCCATGTCGATATATGCCTAGTTTAACCCAACTCAGAAACGGTCAATTTTCGCATGTATCGCGGCAGTTGTCCCACTACTTGGAATCCTGGGTGGAATCGAAACCGCATTGATATTCGCACTATGGGCCGCCAAAGGCCGTGATCTTGAATGGCCGCTTATCCTAACGGCTGTTCTCAGCGCCTGTTTACTTGCAGCGGGTGTGTTGAGGCATTACTATGATATATACGTCCATCGAACCGTTCGCGGAATCAGCTTTATATTCGTTGGAATTGATGCCGCTGGGGACTTATTCTCTCTGATCTCTGTTTGTATGGACCGTTTTCTTATCCTGGAAAGGGGGGGCTTACTGCTAATGGATGAGTAGTATTTGGACGAAGCATCGATGTATTGGGTATGGTCATATACGGAACCGAACTTGTACTCTGGATAGGGGTATTTATCTGTGGGGTGACTTTCAATTTCGTGCCTTGGCTAAGGGAACGTTCGAAAAAGCGGGAACAGAACAGAGAGCAGGAACAAGATGTGGTGCTTCACCCAATGCCGTCTTCGACTTCGGTGTTCCGGACTGCGTCCGGGTCCGATGTGGTGATGAGGAGAGCGCCTCACCATCGATCCTGAAACTAAAAGTTCGTTTATTTGGCTCTCTCATAGAAATATGAAAAGAACCCGAAGATGAATAACATATTTTCGATGCATGTCTATAATGCTTTTCTTACGTACATAGTTTGATGATAGACGCCAATTATCTGGATATAGCCCTCTACAATCAATATTATCTTCAATCAGAGATATCTCCATATAGAAAGAGTTCTAATTAATCTCCTATCAGCCAACTACAGATCAGAAAAGGCTGCAAGGTGATATATTCAGATTCTGGCGGCACATTAGGACTCGACCCTGACACTATTCAGGAACAGTAAGGGTTATTTATTGTTGAGAGCTACCGAGTTCAAGCTATAAAAGTTGGTACTCTTGCCCAGCAAAGAGGTAGGATCCTATCATTGTCTAGTCTGTATGGCTTTTCTACAGAAGGACTCTGTCTAACAGCTTCTTCGTTGTCATGTAACGTTATAATGATACATGGTCAGTCAGAATGTTGAAACATCTCAACTGCAGCCTTTCTAGCCCAGTCTCATGAACAACGAAACAAACAGGGACAGCGTATTCAATGTATAAAAGGTCGAAAAGAGCGACTAGCTACAGTGACAAATTATAATTGATGAGGCCTGATCGGCGAAGGGTGTGGCGGTGCGTCAATATGCGCAGATATCTGAGCCAGAAAGACGTCTGCAGCAGAGTTGTTCGAAACGCCGTTTCGGAAAATGAAGTTCATCGGGGATCCCATGCCAAAGGGAATCGCGCTCTCAATTTCGTTGAGATCCTCATCGGAGAGTGCCACGCTCAAGGCATCGACGTTGGCTTCCAGGTGTTCAATCTTTCGCTGCCCGACAATAGGGAAAACATAAGGCGTTTTGTGGAGGACATATGCGAGCGCCTGTCGAGATAGTTTAGCAAGGAGCCAGATTAGTTGGCTGAAGTGTGGAATGTGGAACTCACAATCGCATGCAGATTAGTGTTTTTCTTCTTGGCAATTTCCTCCAGCGCCTCTGATATCTTGATGTCGTTTTCGCTCATATTGGATGCTCTTGCACTACCAGATTCGCCAGTGCCACGGGCTTCGGCAGTTTTGAACTTCCCTTGCCCCAGAGGCGCCCATGGGGCGATTCCCATCCCCTGGTCCCGACACATAGGAATAATCTCTCTCTCAAGGTCCCTGAATCCGGCATTCCACTTCTCTTGATACACGGAGAACAAGCGCAACCCATTTGCCCGCGCGTAATCATTTGCTTTCACAGCTATCCAAGCAAGTATGTCCGAGATTCCGAGATATAGCACCTTGCCCGAGAGAACAAGAGCGTTAAGTCCGTGCATGACCTCTTCGATTGACGTGGTAAAGTCCCACCAATGCACGTATAGTAAGTCGATGTAGTCTGTTTGGAGTTTCTTGAGACTGTGTTAGACTGAAATTCGCATGCTTTAATTGAGTTGCCCACAAAGTTGGACTGGAGTGGTTCGATATCATGGTGCGATGCGCGAAATTCAGTTGTGTGTTTTGTTGCGATTCTGGGTTTGTAAGTACAAGTAAATTTGGCTCGCTTTCATGGATGCTATAATTGGGGTACTTACACCAACTGATCGCGGTTACTTCGTTCTTTCATCCACTCTCCTAGCTAAATCTCGGACTCCTCATTCTGATAGTTATTCGCCCTATATAAACAGTCAACTTGAGAGATCTCAACACGCAATCGCGGTTCCACTGACGTGTCAAGGAAGTTACCACCAAACCTATAGAAAGCGTCCAGGATTGCAAATGACTGCAGCTTGCTGCATTCACCCATGAAATCCTCCCTGCAACAGCAGCTTAATATTGATTTCCAAATATTTCTGCAGGGGACAGTACCATTTAGTGCCAAAGTTCATCGTTCCAAGGCATAGGGGAGATACTTTGACGCCGGCAGTGGACGCTAGCACTCGGTGATAGCCGGGCAGGCAGGCAGGCTTTGGTGCGAGGGTAAAGGCAGACATCTTTGATAAAAGATCACTTTAATCAGGAAGTTTGTTTTACTGCCTGCGAGGGAATGTTCCTTCTATTTATATAGTCCATATCGGTTACTGTACGTCACTGGTGGGTAGGGTGTATCCACGGAACCTGGGAGGGGCTAATGCAACCTGATGACAAGTGGATTGAACTTGAGCTACTTTCCGCTTAAGGACAACAGATAATTCTACTATGCAGATTCCAAGGGATCCATTTATTTAGGCCATAAATGCCTCGTAGTTTGTCGTATTGTTTAAATACAAGTTGTTCTGACTAAAAAGTACAATCACGTTCGAAACAACGGTTTCTCGTTCCGCTTTGCTCGCCAGTGATTTGTAGATTGGAACAGGTCGCGGCAATTCCAGATGACCCAGCCCCAAGTGTGAGCAAATGCCTCTGTGACCTCCCACCCCGCTGGATCCCAAGGGTCCCTCCAGACAATAATACCCGCTCCTCCATCGCGCACGCTTCCACTCCCCTTCATGTCAAGACATAATTGTGTTTCATCATATGACTCTCCAGCGCAGATTAGATTATCCCTCATATGCGAGATGGGGATCAGGTCCAACCATGGATGGTGTTCTATAGAGCGCTGGATCATGGTAGGTTGAAGAGTGGAAGGAAGGGAATGCTCGAAGTCATATTGCCATGGCCCGGCGGTGTTGAACGGGGAGATGGCATCGTCGTGTAATGCCTCCGAGGTGAGTCCCAGGATCCTAATGTTCTCCATGAGTGCCCGAGTAAAATTTAGCTGGGTAAGATGGAGCAGAAGATCGGTACGTGGAGAACCAAGCATGTAGTATGCTATGGTCTCCAGACGTTGCATCAAAGCTTTGGTCTCCGGGAAGTCTAAATGTAAGATATGCACATTGTCAATTTCCTGCAACAGGGTATGTGAGGATGTTGCGTGAATAATGATATCCGTCGGCGACGTCTCCAGGTATGCAGCATCAAGTGCCGCTGACGACGACTGTTGCGTCTCAATATCGCCTTTGTTCCGTAAACCTGTATCCACATTCAAAACGATGAGCGATATACCCACTTAATAAACGATTGGGCAAAATTGGACTTACGTCGAGCTCTTTGATTCAGACGATTCTGCAGCTTCCGGCGCTGTCTCGGATCGGTAATGCCGGACCAATCGTCATCCGGCCAAGCGCCAACGCGCTGCGTGAATGATTGTAAAGCAATTTGCTTCTCATGTATCGGTAGACCGTGACCATTCATGATTGCAATTGAATATGCACTTTGATGACAGAACGTGGAAATTGGAGACGGGGAAGAGGAAGAAAAGACGACGTACTCCACTTTGATAGTGGCAGCCCAGTAAGGTTAGCATGGACCCACTGTCACACACCTGCATGACGCTTTACTATATCGGGGTTAGACCAGAGGTTAATATTTATCCTAATGCGGTACTACTATGTATGTACTCTGGGGTAGTATAGACAACACTGGAGGAGCCATATATAAAATACCCCGCAAAATCGCAACATCAATGAAATTTCAGAGTGGATATCCAAAGTTTTTCAATTGATAATGGTGCGAATTCGTGGTTCAGTTGCCTACTTTCTTGCTGTGGCAAACACAACTGCATATGGTGCGGTGGACCAGACAGCGTCCGGCAACTGTCAACAAGCAGTATGTTCCTTGAGCCCCTCTACTTCTTGTCTACATTTTGACCACATTCAGTGTGCCCGACTCTCCACTGACTTCGGACCTTTGCTTCACTACCCCGACAGCGACAATTTTACAATCTGGGACGCGAAGCAACAGGAAGTTCACCCGGCCTGTCGCGTTGAGCCTTCTAGTGCCACAGATGTCTCTAATATCCTGTCCATTCTCGTGGACTACTGGTGCCACTTTTCTGTAAAGGGCGGCGGTCACTCTAGAAATCCTGGGGATTCCAATTCAGTGGGCGGTGTTACTGTGGACCTAAACCGGATGAGAAACGTTGAAGTGCTGGAAGATGGCACCAGGGCGCGTGTTGGAGGTGGCGCAAATACAGTGCAAGTGTATCAAGCCTTGGAATCTCAGAATCTCTCATTCGTTGGCGGCAGGGTAGGCACTGTTGGCATGGGGGGCTTTACACTGGGCGGAGGAACATCCCCATTGTCAAACAAGTATGGCTGGGCACTGGATAATGTTTACGAGTATGAGGTATGCATGCACACTTATGATCATCCAAGATCAATTGATCTGATGCAGGACTAGGTTGCACTTGCCAACGGTACAATCACCATTGCCTCTGAGTCTCACAATCCGGACCTTTACTTCGCTCTCCGGGGTGGCGGTAACAATTTCGGCATTGTCACGAGCTTTACTGTTCGCACGTTTGCTCAGGGGCCTGTCTTCACAAGCATGTCATCCTACTCTGCCAATCAGTCTGAGCAAGTCCTTGACAAAGTGTATGACCTATACACAGATAAGAACCTTACCAGTGATGTTGAGCTAGGTTATGACCTGTATTACACCTACGTCTCTGACACTAATGAGTTTACCTTGATGGGCACCCAGCGCTATGGGAAGCCAGTTCGGAACCCCCCGGTCTTCCATGCAATCGACCAAATACCAACATTAAGTCGGTCCACAACCATTGGCACCTTTAGCAGCCTGGTGAACGAGTCTACCCCAATGGGTATTACCCGGTAAATTCTTCTTTCCTCTCTTTTCTTTGCGTTGCTCCACGATTCATCTATCTGGTAGGAATCTGTTCGCTACACTGAGCATCTCTCCATCACGTTCCCTGCTCTCGCAAGGCCTCCAGATCTTCCAGCAAGAAGTCGAGGCTCTTAGAACCGTATCCGGTCTCGTTCCAAACTTTATCTGCTACCCGCTGCAAAGCAATGCAATCGCGGCCATGAAGCAAAGAGGCGGTAATGCTCTGGGCATTGAGCGCGACGAACCACTTTTCAGTGAGTGATTTTCGATCCTCGATCTTTATATCTCTTAACTTGGCTGACCTGCCATATAGTTATCTTAATTTCTACAGCGTGGTCCCACAGCCGCGATGATGCCTCCGTCGAGAAGATGACTTTAAACATCATTCACAGACTCGAGGTGGCGGCTAAGGATTCGGGGGTTGCGAACCGATATTTGTACATTAACTACGCGTCTGCTACACAAGCCAATGCGGTCTTTGCTGGTTACGGCAACAAGAATGTGCAGAAACTGAAGGCAGTCCAGAGGGCAGTAGATCCACACGGTATCTTCACCTCCAAGGGCTTATGGAGGGGGTTTTTCAAGCTGCAATAGTGTGACGATGGACATTTGTGATAGTTGAGATTTTGGTTAAATGGCGGACATTATGCCTATCAACTATCGATGCAGTGCAAAAATGTCTTGTCATTTATATGGAGTGTTCGTTGAGTACAATTTAAATCTGGTTTCGCGACTAGTCTTTTTTGCACTAGAATATGGCACTGCCGGCTGAAGATACTAGCCTATCTGGCTGCCATGGCTTGATGCTAGTAGATAAAACAGTTAGCTTCATTCCTTTATAAGCTAGGCAGCCTATTGACGAGAAAATCCAATTTAGAGAAGGAGAAAAGCTATCCAGGCGACAAGGTATACACTGTATAAATCACCCTAGCAGGACACGATAACGTTGAGGTGATAGTCGCCAGTCATATATCAGTTAAGACAAGTGCATATACTGAAAGCAGAAGTGTATATATTACTGCATTGGTTTTCTTTTGCAGTTCTCTTGGTTACTTGAATGAGGCGGTTCTATCTCCGGTGATGAATGATAATGCCGAGTGGTGGCAATAGTCCGCCGTAGACGTAGCCGTTGCTTTCATTCCCCGCTTCGCCATGTCTTGTACAGGAACTAGATTTCATTACTAGGATACATATACTGCTCACATAGATCATGGAGAGAAATGAGAAGATGAAAGGTCCAGCCTGTGTGACATGCTGCGAAAAATGTCGACGATGCGACCGCGCTCGCCCGGTTTGTCGCCAGTGCGTGTCCAAAGGATTAGAATGCAAAGGATATCCTGACAAGTTCCGCTTTTGTGGTATCGCCAGTCGAGGCAAATGGAAGAACCAGCGAGTCCCTACTATGCATCACACCCTATCAGAACTACAAGCTTGGCAGCGGAGAAAGGCAGCATCCTGGCAGGTATGCTGTCACGGAGTACGGGCATTCACCAACAACGCAAGATGTTTGTAAACTTTGGCCTGTTTGAATATAGGGCAGGAACCCCCTTCGCACACTAGATAGCGCAGCGCTGGCAGGCCCAGCTTCCTTCTTTCCTTCTCCATGTTAGTATTTCGATAGAGAGTCCACCAATAAATTTATATTGTTCGAGACTGTCACACTTATAAATTGTCGCAAGGCCGTCGAAGTACTGGTAAAGAAGAAATTGACATGTTAACCTACATAGCTAATTGTATAATTGGGCATTGTGCGCAAACCTTAAAAAACTGGGTGAGGTTGTCAAATGGGACAAACCAGATATCCTGGCCAAAGCCATAATGAATACCTATACTATTAGACTTAATAGACTTAATTGGGAATATCCTCGACTTACAGTAAATATTCAGGGTGTATTCTATCAGTGCCAATGCCTTCAAAGTTGTAAGTATACCCAGGAGAAGCGATCATTAAATCAGATTATTGTCTCACATACGAGTGTTATAGTATAATCATCTGCTCCCCAACCCCCCGCCAAGGTTTTTGCACTTGGCTATTACCATCATCAGAAAGAAAAATGAGCCTAGAATTAATGGTACAAGAGTCGAGCCATCTAGAGCAGGCCGTTCCTTGCGTGGAGTGATACCACATTGTTGTTCGTTCAATCGTCGTGTGACTGCAAATAGTTAGCATAATATAATTTCCAATTCCAAGTCAACCAGTATTTACCAAAATACTCCTTTGTTATACAGTTTTTTTTTTTTTTTTTTTAATGCACAGTTTCTTAGAGGAGCTTGATTTAAGTCATCCATGCAGAGAGATGCTGTATCAGTCAATGAGCAATTGGACAGTTGATACCAACGGGTAGCCTTGTAGAATCAAACATCAATAACAGCCCCAGTACGCAGGTCTAGTAACATACTGCTCACTGAAGGAACCTGCTGGGATCTGGCTCCGCAGCATATACCATGACCATGAGAGCTCCCAGAATATGGAGCAAGCATTGATGAATCTCCATTATGAATCATTCCAGGTAGACCACGTGTGGTAGCACCCCGGAGAACCACTTGAAGATTCTCACAGATAGGATCCTATATATCTCAGTCTCTCGGACAGAGAGGTCAGTAGTCTCAAGCAAAAGTTGTAAAAGGAGAACGCTAACATTTAGCTGTCAGCCATAGCAAGTGTCCGCCCGCTTAGGGATTGGATACTACGGAGAAGCGGCATCTATAAATATGCGTCCATAGAAAACCCTAACAAAATAACTGGATCTCGGCCAAACTAATCCGCCATGAAGCAATCTCAAGCAGGTTGCCAAGAGACCCAGAAACGCATACATTAGGTAATACGGCAAATTTTTCCATTTACTTTTTTTCTGTGAATTATCCTAGCGTCAATTATGACCTTTTAGATTTAGAGCGAGAAGTGTATCATAGACACACCTCGTCCAGTAACAAATAATCCTGGTACAATTAGGTTGTAGATGTGACAGCCTGGTCACGTTGGCTGGTTATCACATGAGATGTGGTTGTTTGCTTTGTTGCTTTGTCTATAAATATGGCGTTACCCCCTTTCTTCCTTCCTCATGTCAATTATCCTCGTCAATAGCTACCTAGGTAGAACACATGAGTTGATGTTCCATAACCTGGCTGAGCTCCGTGACAGTAGAAGTACTGGCAGACGTTTTAGGTGGGTAAGACGGGTCATGGTGCTGAAGAAAATAAGGGCACAAGATCTTCTCCACTGTAAAACAGTGGGTGTCTCAGATAAAGTGGGAGGCAATTGCTACATGTTAGCTCCAAACCATGGTCGGTGACAATCCAGGTTGCCATCAAGATTGCCAAAACAGGCATTTGAGATTTTGTCGGAACCGGTGGAGCTCCGTAACGCAAATATTGAGCCATTTAAGAAAGAAAGGAACAAGCATAAAAGGGTGGAATCCCATGATGAACGAATCTAGGCGAGTGCTAGATCCTAAGAAGAAATAGTGGCAATCCAAATTAACCGATCTTCGTCGTAGTAGTGTGTCGCAGGGCTTAGGAAGGGGGGCTCTGCCTGTGGCTATGTGCAGACGATAAGTAGTTTAGTTTTTGAATTTGGGAGAGGATAGCCAATGATTAGTGGCTGTAGCATGCAGTGAAGTATAAGGATTTCAAAGGAAGTGAAATCGCGGTGCTGTGCGATGTTGGGTGATGGCTCATCCTCTGTAGTGCACTCATGCAGACTCACCCCTTGTCGCGCGACCACAAAGCGTCATCACCCTCTAACCCACCCGGGAGACACCCACTGAACAATTGTCCATAGTTAGGCCACACGCCGGCCGGTTAGTAGTTGGGTGGGTGACCACCAGTAGATCCCGGCTGTTGTATGTTTTTGTTTTTGCGCTCGAAGCGAGCATACATTTCTTTTGAACGAGCATAGCAAGTATGATGCAATTTTGTGAGTTATCTCAATGTAGATAGCAAGCATAACGACGCTGATTGGATTATAACACCAGGATCTATGAGCTGTAGATTATGTTTCAGACCAGGCGAAGAATATAAAGCTGGAAGTATAAAACTAGTCAAGCAGCTGGGAAAATTGCAGAGCTGTCTTGTTTATCAAACAAATGGCAGCGGCTAACTTTCAGAGTTGCCAAAACAAGGACCCGGCACAATTGACCAAGTCTCTGCGGTAAATGATAACTCCTCCCTTTGCCTCATAACATCAGGATCCACATACATTTTCATTCCTATCGAATCCTGCGATAGGTTGAACACTCTGAATATGACATAGATGGCATCAATATTTCCAGAGATATGATCAGAATGCTCAGAATTTGACGGAACATGGGAAATATTTTGCGCCTATTTTGATACAATGTTAGCTCCTGGCGGGTCATTGATATATGATAAACATACCCTCTGATACTGGTACTTGCTCATGTAAAAGGGGGCATCCCAGGAGTTAGTAGTGGATTTTACTTCAAGATAATACTTGGGTCGTTTTCCCGACCAGATATTCGGACACAAGTATCCCTTTTCGATCAGCAGGGAGGTGAAGACGCCACCGGTGTCGGTATATGTGAAGTCTGCCGTCTCCCGGCCATGCCATGGCTGCATATCAGAGTACTCATCATGAAGTCTCACGTATTTCCGTATAGTACTTTCCCAATTATCTACAGAAAATCCTGGCAGAGCCGGATTTAGACGAGATAGTACTTCGAAAACCTGTATCTTGAAGTTAGAATTGCCTTCGTGCTCCTAGAATGTTAGAGCATCAAGTGGTGATACATACAAACAATTCTCCTGCCGCACCAATTTTTTTGTCACGTTCAACTTTTTCCATTGTACCAACCCAGAAGTCTTCATTATGGTTACCAGTAGTAAACGAATCAAGAGAGTGACTGATAGCTGGGAAAACAGTTTCCCTGGCGGCAGAAACAACATGATGAAGAAGCCCACGGTACGTCGAATCTATAAGTTGATTGGCCGGTTGGGAGTTTGATGATAAGAAATTATGGGGGAGTGGTGTTCCTCGAGGAGTCTCGTCATGGTGGCTCACTAGACGTGGGGGAGCGTGCAATGCTCTTGAAAAGGTGGTAGTAAATTCGTTGACATCAGCTGTAAGAGTAGATAATTCAGGCGTTTGTGCAACATTGCTTTGTTCGGCAGATGATTGGCTGGTAGGGGTAGTAATTTCGAATTCGGCATCGGATTGATCATCAGGAGTCTCAACTGACAAGATTCCGGCTCTGTCAAGGATCAATGCAGCATATGGAGCCTGTGCTTGTAGGACTGTGTGCACTATATTTACAGCCTTCTCATCATAGGGCTCACATATTCCAGTAGTAGGATTCGTCATGATCCATTCCAGAAGAGCCCTTGGTATCCTGTCAAGAAAGCAGAGGTATTGAGATTGCTTTTCTCGGGGCATGAAGATCGTGAGTCCATCTTTGTTTTCCTGGAGGTGCAACTCACTCCGGCTGACTTCAACTGAAATATCGTTTCCGTCCTGGTTAAGATGTACCTCAGAAATGATCCCATCTGTCTCACGAACGTCAATTTTTTGAAGTAGGTCATAAAATGCCTTCTCGTCCTCAATAGCACGGGGGCTCCTAAAGTGCACTGCGATTCTGATATTCGTACTTGTGTCAATGCCGGTCATGCCTCGTTCTTTGGGTCTTGCGACTCACCGGAGCAAAGCATGGGCTTTCCGTGCAATTTTTCTATTGGGAAAAGTCAGAGATTGGCGATAATTATCACATAGGCCAGATATTTCTTTGACACAGGACGACAGATAGCGCGCTTCAAGCCCGGTCCACCGGAGGAAGGGCTCTAATCGTGGAATATCGTTGACTTCAAAGTCTAGGATCTTGGCTTTACCAGAAAATAAATCGGATAGGTGCTTGCGGTCTTTGATAGCGAAATCAACCTTGGAGCTGCACAAGTTGACAGTGCCATTAAGATACCTCACCGGAAACACCTTGCGTTCTATTAGTCGCTTAGGATCAGTGGGTACCTCCTCATCCTGGAGATACGAATTGAGCAGCCAGATTGTTTCCTTGACATCCTGGATAGATGCTCCTCCGGATGCTTGTTCGACCAACTTATCATAGACCATCTCGAATGTCAAGGTACGAACACCTAGAAGTTCAACGAAGAAGCCTTGCATGTCTTCATACATGTCATTCAGTGTCACCATTCCCTGAATGTCAGTCACGGTCGACCACAGACATTCGGAAGGTTTGTACCAGTCGGCGACATCTTTGTCTTCGTAATATATGAGTTCACGACGTTCAAAGCGTTCCCTTAAAGACATGAGCTGGATGGTCGCACATTTTTGAAGAGTGGAAAGAATCACCGGATTTCTTTGACAATTTCAATGTCCATCTCTGTCCGCCTCAGTTCCAGTCCTTGGTATAACTCGTAGATAACTTGATGGTGCGGAAAATCAACATCCTGACTCAGCGCCTCCAGCTCGTCCAAGAAATCATATATGCCAGCATCTGGTATTGCTAGCGTGTCTCGAAAGAGCTCGACAAAGTGCTTTGTATTCTTGACACTGTCATATCTCCATTTCAATGGGATTTTCTCAAGCATATCTTTAGGTGCCTCCCACAGACAACATTCTGGTGAAGTCCACTGCACATCGTTGCCAAAGTAGTCAGGAATATAAATAAGAGATTCTGATCTGAAGGTTTCCCTAAATGCAGAGTTAGAGAATGCGAAAATGCAGTAGGAGGAAATATCAACTTACAGTATTGCTTTGCGAGAAAAGAATGTATCCACAGACTCGTGATACCGACTTTGAATTCGACCGTACAATTCATAGACTCGACCGACATCTGCTAACCTACCGGCATCTTCGCTTGCATTCTTAATAAACCGCAGAAGTGTAAGATAGAACTCGAGCTCGGACTTGGGATAGCCGAATCCTAACGCACTTGTCAAGACTTCCAGATCAGACAGCCCTGAGACATCGCTTAACGACGCGTCTTGCTTCAACCATGGGAAAGGGTCGTTTTGAATGAATCTGTCAGCATACTCAAGTTGTTTCGTGTGCACGTATGTACTTCCGAGCGGATGCATACTGCCATTCTCGCAAAGCACCTCGACGCTTAGTAGCGCGTGAATCAGGGCTTGGCTTTCAGTGACATTACTCCCTTCGGACTTCCAGTACCTTAGAAGGAAACCTAGGAATTTATCTGGGCGCTGTCTGGCCACGTAGAGACATTCCTCGCTCAGACATCCACTGCGAGTCAGTGGGACTACATCCCGAACATACCGCATTTGACTTAGCCACACTCCCCAGGTGCGATTTTCCTCATCCGGCTGGGCCGAAAAGCAGGACATGTAATCGCTATGAAGAAATGACACGTCAAGGTCCGGGACACCATTACACGACTTCCCAGGACCCACTGGTTTTAAGAGTTGCTGGGCGCCGTATGGGTCATCACCTGGAAAGTAGAAAGTATAAACCTCTGGTGATCGCTTCCTGTGCATGTGGTCATATAGTTTGATTTTGTAATAGGCATGTGGATAGTCGCTATCCTGGTTAAGGTGTGCAGTAAGGTAAAGGAATTCCAAGTTCATTCGATTATTTCGCAGGATAACATCGTGACTGCTATGGTGGGTCGTGATCGCATGTCGAATATGGGACACTCGTGGCTCCTGAACACCAAGACAATCGAAGAGCCGTTTTCGGTCAGGATTTCTTGCTGCTTCCGAATCAAGCAAGTTTAAATCTAGGTTTGTGGGGATCTGATATCCATTCACATGGGGATAATATATCGATGCGAAATTGGCGTCGCTTGCAGATTTCCACTGACCCCTCTTTGTAGGGATCAGCGCAAGGCTCTTCATCGTTTTAGTCCGGTTAGGCCAGGAATTAAATAAAATCTTTGCAACACGAGAATGCCAATCGTCGCCAGTCTCAGGAGACTTTATAATGGAAGATTCCTGTTGGTCAAGGTCTTTGCGAGCCCTAACGAGAAATCCATCTATATCCATCCAGCGAAGACCATAATATTTCAGTGCGTCCAAATCCTTCGCCGAATACTCGGGAGCGAGATATTCTTCCGGCTCTGTATCAGGAAATAAAGGCTCTCCGTTCTCATCCAGCATATTTTGGGGAACCCGACGCATATGTTTTATGGAGCGTAGTTTCTCGTGACTTCTTGTCCAAAGCACCGAATTTCTTCGCAAGCAGGCATGTATGGCGTTTGTCAAAGTTGTCCAAAACGCATCCCGAAAATGGTTCTCATTGCTTGGAAGATATCGCATCCACCGGTAGCGCATTGTTGCGTGCTCGCAGAATTGTGATACAGCTTTGACAAAAACCTCACCGACAGCTCTGAGTATCCTATCATTGCGAGGCGAGTTTCTGACAAGATCTTGTCTACTTGCGTCGGTGACAAAATCAGAGTGCATCAAGAACTGGAGCGCGGTTAGCATTAGGTGATATTCTGAGGAAGAGTCACTCAACTGGAAAGCCCATATTCCTTATCGGAAGAAAAGCAAACACATCCTGTGCTTCAACAATTGGAACAAGGTCCGGCGTTAAAGGGAAGGCTAGGACAACATCAGCAGTTGCGTATGCTTCATGTAAAAGCTCCGTGACAGAATATGTGCGATTCTCGCTCTTCGGTAGGCCTGAAGCAGTATCTTTGGTTATGTGGTAGTGTTGTGTATGCTCCCGGATGTTTCCAACCTCCATCGTCCTTCTTTTCAACTTGACTTGATTTTGGTCTTGGCGCTCCATTGAGAATGCCGTGGAAGAAATTCGCACGTCATTACTGTCGTACATCGTAACCTCAATGCTTTGGAGATTCTTCATGAATAGCAGAAAGGTGGCTTGAAGTTCCCGGAATTGCTCAAGAATTGTCCCCTGTTGTCTATCCAGTATCTCATTCGAACCGGTATCATGGAGGAAAAGAGTAATGCGAGTCAGAGGACGAGCCAAACTTTCTCCTGCATCTTCCCAGACGGGGGTTATCATCCCCATTCCCGAGTCGCCCATTCTGTGCTGGAAATAGAATGAGAAGTTTCCCGACTGGATGTGAACTTTCCATGCCACCATGAACACCGACTTAAATCCAATACCTTTCTCTCCAATATACCCCTGAGCACCAGTCTTTGAGCTTTTACCAACATTGCAAATAGCCGTCAAGTTCTCTCGCGTGAATCCATCCTCGTTACACTCCACAACAATCCGTCGGTGGTAGACGTGGAAAGACACAAAGGGAACGGCAGACAATGACTTGGCTTTAAAATATGAATTGTCGTCGGCGTTCTGTAGAAGTTCGAATACAAATCGAGCGCTACTATTGTATAAATTCTTTGCCAATCTGTTTGATTGAATTGGCATGTTAGCTCACAAACGTGCCAAATTATTATGGAAGCCATTCATACGTGATCACAGAGGACCCAATCATCTCATCCTTCCTTAGCATCGCTTCTTCAACCTTACGCCGCACACCTGGTTCCATTTTTGAGAGGGTAGTTTCATCAAGGAAGCCGTGAGAATGCGTGATTTCCTCGACTAGCTCGCGGGCCCTGTCACGGGCCAGCTGGTGCTCAGGAAGGGAAGTCGTTGGCAAGGACATTGCCAAAGATTAAAAAAAAAATAGCGGATTAATCCAGTCTGTGTTCAAAACATACTTTTCTGAAGAGGGGCATTCGATTTTAAATCCAGACGTAACAAGGCTGTGTCTGACTAGGTCTTCCTGTTTTGTACTTTTTCATTTTGGCGCTTCGACAGCAACATACACTGGATGATGATCGTTTGGTGCGGCATTTGTCTATAGGATTTCGCATGCAGCTCGAAGGAATTGCCCCCCAGCACTCTCTGATCTTTCGTTACAATATAGTAGCGCTGATCAAAACTGCAGGGCTGGGAGGGGTGACTGCGGCAAGATATGTTCTTTTGTAATGTTAGTGTGAACCAGTAGCTAATTGTGTCGTTCCTAATCAATAAAATCATAGTATTTATTACCGCAAAAGCTATAATAGTGACCGTAACTATTAAAGTACTTTTTGCCTAGAAGAACACTTTTCCATGTTATCTAATCTATATATGATAACTAGACAATCCTCCCACGGAAGATGCGATGCCAGAGACTAACAGCATTCATCAGCTGACAGAGTAGTTGCTTGATCAAAGGGACCATTCGAGTGTGCGTAATCGATATTAGTGACTAAAGTCCTCAACGATCTGCGTCACAAAACAACGGGCCGCCGATGCACAGCTCCGTGTACGTTATCATCGAAGCCAAATAGGGCGATGAGTGAGAGTATCGTCACTTCTACCGCTTAATAACTGTGTCCTGTTGCCAGGAAGTTGAAGCCAAGTTGACAACCTGTTTATTTAGTACCAATACACGGATTGGCGATTTGCCCAGGGGAGAGGCTCACGAAAGATCATGGGATGAAGTACCACAATTTCAAGTACCATACATGCTCGCTTCCATATATGTGAAGCATTTGCAGGTAATCAATGCAGGTTCTCTGCTTATCTGGGCGTTCAGGCATCCGTTTGACTTTCCACAAACACGCATTTCGGGACTTTGCTGCCCAGTTGCATTGTAAGACCCCACTATTCATGATATTAAGTCAGAACTTGTGTACGGAGTAGTTGAATCAGTAAGAGCTCCTTTAAGACGCCTATGATCTGGGATCTCTAGTCATTCAGTGGAAATGTGCGCTCTAGCCATACTCCGCGGCGGGTAGTTAACCACCATACCTTTTGCATTTGACTGCACTAACACGGTCCCGGCCAGGCTGTATTTCTAATTGAATATATTTTTCTTCTAAGAAACGACTAGTACATACGACCATAGGGTGTGGAGAACAGGGCTTCCCGTCCGCTCAGCCGTACTTAAGCCACACGCCGGCCGGTTAGTAGTTGGGTGGGTGACCACCAGCGAATCCCGGCTGTTGTATGTTTTTTTTTTTTCCCTTTTTGCTTACCCTGAGCGGTTTTTGTTTTTGTGTATAAAGCTTAAACGATCGCGGCGATGGGAGATGGTCCAGCAGGTTGGACAAATGTGTGAACAGTGAAAACTGACAATTCTCTACATAATCTTGTCAAGGCCCTCGATCAGTTTTTAGAACATATAACCACCCAGTCCACACTGTGCAAGTTTCTCATGCTGTCTCCCCCCGATAACGTTGTCGTGTAGTTCATGGTTATGTTGGATGAACTTGAAAGACAAGCTTATGATTTCCAAAGTGAACTTCCGCCTTCTTTTAGCTTAACATGGTGCAAATTCTTGATTCATACTACTTTCTTGCCGTGGCTACCGCAACTACAGATTGCCGCCCACGCTGGAGATCGTAGCCCGTTGAACCCGAAAGCAAGATGTGAAATGATGCAGGGGACCCGAAAAGATTGCGCATATCTTCTCCTTCGTTGCGAGTCCAGAAACCTCATTTATCAGCGTTCAAGTCTTTGATGTCAGGGGCGGAAAACTTCCCATTGGATACACGAGCTGGAGAATATAAGAACTGTTGTGCCAGAAAGGTCTAGCTTAGTACCCTTGTTTATGAGACAATTCAACCGATATCTTCATTATAGCTCGCCTAGAGCCAATAGATTTCATCAAAATCCATCTTGTCATCCTTTTCCAAGACTTAGACTTGCAAGCGATGAACTATTCCCTTCGCAATCTGCTCGCCATATTCAAATCCAACTTTTGGCCTCGGTTGCCTTGGATCGATGTCCTTGCCTATGTCGTGGCGGAGTCGTGGCACCCGGCTTGACCCTTCACAACTTTTTCGGAGCTGCTCAAAGTCCGTGTCATTATATCCACTTCCTATCACGATTGCCGCTATCCTTTTCTCGTACTCTTGGATAGCGAGATTTGCTCATTCCTTGGAAGGAGGGGACTGTCCGTGCAGAAGAGATGGAATATCCCTCAACCCCGCCTCCACGGAGTTGATGACATGAATCACTTTTAGTTGATTAGCTGTCAGAGCTGAAGAATATCGCATATTTTCACGGAAACAATTCACCCTCATACGTTGGCCTAATGCCTTCTTTCACACCAACCAAAACATGCGGAGACTTGCCGCACATTATGATGGGGATGGGTGCCATTATATTTCTTCCTAGGGCAGTTCATATAGATATCGGCTTTCGATGAACGTTGAGGTTATAAGCGACACAAGCTACTCTGTTTTGAAAATCATTCGGTACCTTATGTCAACCCCGAAGCCGATTTAATGGTCAATTTGCACCGAAGTACGGAATACCAAAGTCCGAGTATGACGCCACCTCTAAATAGAGGTAGACTTATAGGAATACTGCAATAAAATTATGATCAGAGATCCTGGGCCCAAAAGAACTGTTATATCTTAGTGGCCATCCTCGAGCCATCTACTACATATTCGCACTTGGTGATAATGTCACTAGAAGTATGTATCCGTTCAAGGGGGGTTCTTTTTAAATGCGTATTCTTCACGATTGGAAGGAAAATAAATGCGTATACATAATGGATACTTAGAGGTTGTTTTATTTACATTGGCATTCCAGTTATCTCCTCTGCAGACCAGTATTTCCGAGTCTGTTCTGCGCTCAATTATTCCTGGACCTCCTCATCCAGATGCTGCCATAATACCGGTCCGAACGAATCCAGAATCACCTTCATTTCACCCCACCGTAAGTCGGAATCACCTAGGAGACAGCTTTGAACATGGAGCTGAGCTCGAGATTTTTAAGACCCCTATGGATCACTTTATGCTGCGAAATCAATAGATACTGGTTGGCAAAGGCAGGCATGCGCTTTGCAAGGAATGGGAAGACGCGGATCTGCAAAGAATGTCACTTATTTGACCCAAATACGATGAAAAACGACTCCATCGGCTCATTGATATTATACTTCTTCAATCTGGTGGTGCATTTCGAGATTCCGGCAGAATTCCAAGCACAGTTTGAGGTAGCCCTTGATAAACATGTCGGCCGGTCGTTGTGATGATTCTGCCACCCCGTAAATCACATTCCACTGGACTCGAAACCGTTGATGCTATGGAGGCAAACCATGATCAGTCTTGGGTTTCGCTTGCCGCTACAGACATGATACTAACCAGTGACTGAATGGTATCCGCCATGTGGTTGGAAAGCCTGAATTCATGATCGCTTAGGGGTGGAGAATTTTGCGATGAATGACCCGCCATTCTGAAAGTAAGAGATAGAGAGAAATTATCAATATGAATTCATTCCACATTCTAATTCATATTACCCTTGTATCAATTTGACTATACTTAGGGCGTGTGACGATATCTACATATTGTGTTTAAACTTGTAGGAACCAACACAAAACCCGTCCTAAAGGAAACGACTAGAATAGAATCATCAATCGCGATTGGCATACGGAGGCGAGACGAAAATCCGAGTTCGTCTGATATTCGGATTAAGTGTTTGAAATATTTTTCGGCCCCCGGCTTTTATCTCGAGCCCGAACTCTCCTCATGACTAATTCGCCTCAGGGTTGATCAGAACCCTATCAGGTTTTGGGTGTTCATAAAAGCTGGTGGAAATTCCTTGACAAAAGAAAGAAAAAAGCTCATTCATCTTGAAGAATCCACTGAAAATTTTGACTCTCTTTTGCAACTTTCGTATACTCCTTGGCCAGTGTTTCAATTCTTACCCCGAGTGGTCTGATAAGAACAACTGAAATGACCTCGCCGTTCGTTGTAGTTGCTGGCGCTGCCGGCGGCCTGGGTCAGTTTGTTGTCATGGAGCTGATCAAGCGAGGCGTGGCCGTGAAAGCGCTTGTACGCCCAACACCGACTCATCCCGCACCAAAAAGCTTCGTGACGCCAATGTTACTATCACTCCTATTGGTCTCTCTTCGATAACAGCTCTAATTCGCGAACTGACTGGAGCAATATGTGTCGTTCTACACTACAGGGCTTGAAAGATGTTATCCACACCGTCCAGGGCTAATTCCTCGAGGCCTCTGTGGCCGCTAAAGTTCCAAGATTCATCTCTTCCGACTTTTCTCTCGACTTCACCAAGACAAAACCCGGATCCAACCGCAACATGGATCTACGCCGTGAGTTTCACGCCCGGCTGAAAGAGTCGGGGCATTTCATGGAAAAGTATACTCAACAGTGGCTTTATGGATCTTATGGTTGGCGACCCACTGATTATCAATCATAAAAGCCGGAAAGTTGCGTACATCGGTTCGACAACGCAATTGTTCGACTTCATTACTATGGCTGATACAGCTGCTTATACGGCTGCTGTTGTTGTAGACCAAAAACTTGTACCTAATTTCCTCCGCATTGCTAGTGATGTCGTTAATGTAAAGGATATTGCCGAGGCATAGATAAATGTGGAAGAAGCACGATATAAGGTCTCATGGATGGGCTCCATCGGCTCCACAGGGTTCATGATTTGAGCCTTGCGTCTTTTGGGGGGTGAGAACGAAATATTTCCTGCTTGGCAGGGTATGCAATACATGGCAAACATGTTCTCTGGCGCTGGGAAACTCGAGCCGCTGGATAACAACCGATATCCCGAGCTCACTTGGACAAAGATTGAGGATTTCTTCCGAGAACACAAGAATAAGAAGTGATCCAGCCACACAGTTATTTGTGAAGACTTATAGACTCCTCCACTTATTGATGTGTGTTCGTTTAGATCTGCATTATGTTTATTGCGAGACGATGGTGGACTCGGCGCTCGGCTTGGTTAGGGCTATGTATATATCACAGTTGTAATTTTGGTCGATTTCTGTATTCATCTAATGTCCAATCTCTCTCGAGACCACCAGACAGAGCTAGATGGCGAGCATGGAAATTTTAGACAAAAGATGCCCAGGGATGTCTCCATTCGTGGGTGTAGGTCATGAACAGGTCCCTGTCTGCGCCCTCACTGAGCAGCCTAGATTTGGTCTATGTTGAACAAAGGGATACTTCCAGTGTGGCTGAGCGGGGCAGTGAAAGCGATGTTGTTTGTATTCTCCCAGTAAACAGCTCTGAGAGATTCACGACGAGGAGGTGAGATCACTCAGATGCTTTTGCCATTCTGATAATACATGACGTCATGACATATATAGTGGCTCTAGAGCATTGCTTCCCCGGAGTCAACCCAATATATGTATGTTGTCGTGTATAGGGGTTAATATATCATGTCGTATGAAAGACGCACCGGGAAACATGATGGTATGCCGCAGCAGGCTCTGGATGGTGGGATTGATGAGACACGGACGGCACTAAACGCATACAATTCACCGAAGATGAGCTAGAGACTGGAGTTCGATTGTTAGGTGAATATTTGCTCGTTGTCCATGCAAAAATACGTTTACTGACCTATCTATACTACATAATGATCTGGTAGATATCCAGGTCAATGAACGTTAACCTAGCATCGCAGGGCTGCTGAACTACACTCGACACAATTATCTCCGGATGTGGATCAGAACAAGAGCATACGCGACATCGAAGTTGCTCAAGAAAAAGCAGGACAGCCCTTTCAAGTACATCTAAACATTGTCATTCAAGCCATTGGCTTTCGAGGTGATATTCGACTTTTCTTTGCGCTATGACAAGAACTTACAGCCCATCATCATCGAGTTCGAATAGCCACGCATCCGATTTTTCGGGACTTTGTTCTTGATGCTGGCCTTGAATTTTTTAGCATTGGAGGAGATCCTGAACAGTTGATGGCTTTCATGGTTCGGAATCCTAACCTAGTCCCCGCTTTCAGCACCATCCGCAGCGGTGCTATTCAAAGACGACGACGCGAGATGAGAGAGATCATTGACAGTTGTTGGAAGTCGTGCTTTGAGTCTGATTATGGACACCCATTTGTCGCAGATGCGATCATAGCCAACCCCCCTAGCCTGGCCATATCCATTGTGTACAACGACTTGGCATTCCTCTCTACATTATGTTTACGTGGGTTTGTTCCAATCACGTCAAAAGTTATGCAAATGAACGGCCAACTTATCTATTCTTATGGTATGCCTTGGTCACCAACTCAGTCATTTCCGCGTCCACTGTCTATCACACACCCAGAGCACTGCAAAGAAACCACTGCGAACTTCATCTCATATGCGAGCGTAGATATGATGGTTTGAGAAGGTCTCGGTGACATTGTCAACAATTTTCGCAGAAAGACATTATCACTTGATCCCTTGGACCGAATAATCGCCCCAAGCGTGATACATCGATTACAGGTGCCATGTGCCTATCTTTGGTACGACTACACCTTATACAGGAAGAATTTCATTAACAATGTGACAGGTCACCCTCATTGCTTGACAAACTTCCGGATTGGCCTTATAATATTGACGTTTGTGGATTCTGCTTCCTTCCGTCAGTTAGACTACAAGCCACCAGCTGATTTAGAAGCTTTCCTTAAAGTAGGCCCAAAGCCGATATATATCGGATTTGGCTCTATCGTGGTGGATAATCCAACAAAACTCACAAGTATTATATTTGAGGCGGTTAAGAATCTGGACAACGTGCTTTGATTTCCAAAGGCTGGGAAACATTTGGGAGCACTATTGATATCCCCGATAATATTCTTATTGTCGGAAGCTTACCTCACGACTGGCTTTTCCAACAGGTTTTGTGCATTGTGCATTATGGCGGAGCTGGAACTACAGCTGCTGGACTTGCACTAGGATGCCCGACTGTGATTGCGTCCTTCTTTGGCGACCGGCGATTCTGGGGGAGGTTCGTTGCAAAATCAGAAGCTGGTCCAAAGTCAATCCCTTATAAGAAACTGACAGCGGAAAACTTGACTGAAGCCCTTCAATTTGCATTGTTGTCATCAACAAAAGAAAAAGCACAGATAGTCGGGGGAAACATCCAGAAAAAATTGGGGGCAAGGGATGCTGTACGTAGCTTTCATCGACACCTTGATCCAGAATCATTACGATGTGCCATCTGTCCCTCTCGTCCGGCAGCATGGTATACCAAGGACACAAAGATTGGTTTTTGTGCTTTTGCTGTAGCTGTCTTGGTCAGTAAGGGTAAGCTCAAGCCTAAGGCTGTGGTTCTGTAGGTTTAATCCATAACTTAGCCATCGCTCTAAAGAATATGAAACCTATCGTGATTCGACAGGACCAGTTAGCGCTAGTGCCCAAATTTTTTTTCGAAGCCATTGCGAACTTCATTACTGGCATTGCGAGTGTCCCGGCAGATATTGTTGCTAACATGATTTCCGCAAACCACGGTATAAGCCACCCCCATGTGCACAGTGATTCTCTATATCAATGTGGTTGTCCCAGTCACGAAGCATTATGGGCTGACGGCGGACGTGCCGAAAACGAAGAGGGACCTGGGCTCCTGGATGAGGGTGGACATATCGATGCAAACATATATGAGAATGGGCAGCATGAGAGGAACTCCTTGCCCGAGTCAATTAATGAGCAGGATGGAGACATGCTGCCTCAACAAAAGCAGACTATGAGCAGCATGAATTCGGCGATTGGATTTCGAGGTTTCATGTCAGAGGCAGCGCTGCATGGCATGAGAGGGTTAAAAAGATTCTTCGACGTCGTCGTCTGGCTACTAACAGACCTTACGCTCAGCATGACAAAGGGTTTTACAATGTACCCAAATTATACCATGACGTTACGGTTCAGCCCAGTCCGAAAGTGACCGGGTTTCGAAGTGGGCTAAGGGCTGCCAGAACCGTATGTCTATTCTTCGTGATATTTCGCTCTCCCCTCTTCCTATGTGCGTTATACTCATTCGTTCTAAATTTTATTATAGAAATTCAAGGACGGTTTCTACCATGGTATCACAGTGCTCGCCACTCAGCCCAGTCATGGCCTCAAAGCCGACGGAGAGAAGGGGTTGGCCAAGAGAGTAGGAAAAGGCATCGGTGGGCTATAGTTAAGCCTACTGCGAGTAAGCCATAAATCCCATTATTCTACCTACAATTCAAGATAATTCCAATTACAAGTCATTATCTTCTGACAACCGTGCAACTAGGCCTATGGGGGCTAGCAGGATATCCTTTGAGCGGCCTGTGCAAGAAGCTTCTCAAGTCGCTAGGCAAAGATATAGAAAGACACATTATTCAGGCACGGATTGCCCAGGGCCATGAAGAGTTACAAGCATCGTCAACCGAGGAGAAAGCTGAGGTGGTCGATAAGTGGGCTCTCATCGAAGCGGAACAACGAGAACCAGCTGTTTGCCGAGGTTGGCTCCTTGGCCCACGCCCAACTTGTAGAAGCGGTTTTCGACCATGCGTATCCTGGCATTTGGAGTCGACCTCTTTCTGGAGCAGAATGTCAGCTACTGCCTTATTAGGATACAGTAAGGCTTTTGACAGTTGACTTTGGCCCTCATATCCTCCACGTCTGGCTTGGCACCATGTTCAAGCAGCAGTTGACCAATCTCTTTACGTCTGCTTTCCGCAGCCTCAAGAGACGTCTTACCTTTAACGTTAGAGACGAGCGTCTAATAGTATATTCGCAATCTGCAGGCGATTATTTACTGTGGCACACAACAGAGGGGAATGGTCATAAACGTCCGAGTCACGATCAGCCCTCTTGTCAGGTAACAGTTTTACTGCTGACTCTCGACCATAATCAGTGGCAAAGGACAGCGGTGTACAGCCTTCGCAATCGTGTAGTTAGGCCCTTACTGGATCGTCTTCGAGGATATTATTGACCGCAGAGTCCAGTCCAAAATAAGCTACGACGAAGATACTCCTGACAGACTTCGAAGCATCCTCATTTTCACGGGGGTATAATAATACGCCGGCGCATCAAAAGCTGTGCGCACACTATTAGTTTCGCATCGTCCTTCAATAATCGCATAATCAAAGTTCCTGGAACTGGCCGTTCTCGAGCATGGTGGCCCCATTTCAGACAGACATAGCCATACAGGCAATATTTTGCCATGTGTTCCAGTCCTTTTGCCTTTTCACGAGGCGTAGGTGGTTTAATATAATGAGCAACAACTTCTCCAACGACGTCATACGTCAGTAGAACTCGGTTTACTTTACAGTAGTGAGGAGATTACATTTGAACTTCTGCCACAAGCAGGAATATACGAGAGCCATTATGCTGAGCATAATATCTATTAAATTCGATTGAATTGGGAGAGAGATACATCAACATGGTTAAAACTAGCCTACCATATTCCCACTATCAACCAACGAAGATAAACAATCACCAAACCATCACCAGTCCAAAGGGACTGATGAACCACAGATTACCACTAACCCGTCTTCTCTACCATTTTCAAAGGTGACCCTTAGGTCCAGGATGGCCATGGCCTTTGGGGAGGAGTGCAGGCCCCGGATTAGGGCAACTCGGCACCTTCTCTTCAGGGACACAAACTCCGGTTTGCCAACAGTATGCAGCGCCGGGACCGCATGTTTTCCGAACAGGCTGGCCCCCAGCGGCACATTCGAAGAAGCTGTGGCAGTCATGGTGATCAGGCCAGGCGTGTCCGGGCTTGCAAGGAGGGAGGGGATGCTTTGGATCCGGGTGTACTGGAGGGTTCGCTGGAGCAGCGTGCTTTGGAGCCGGGTGCACTGGAGGAGAGCTTGATGGAGGAAGGTGCTCTGGAACAGGGTGCTTTGGAGCCGGGTGCACTGGAGGAGGGTTCGCTGGAGCAGCGTGCTTTGGAGCCGGGTGCACTGGAGGAGAGCTTGATGGAGGAAGGTGCTCTGGAACAGGGTGCTTTGGAGCCGGGTGCACTGGAGGAGGGTTCGCTGGAGCAGCGTTCTTTGGAACCGGGTGCACTGGAGCAGCGTGCGCCGGAGCATCGTGGGCTGGAGGAGGATGCGCTGGAGCAACATGCGCTGGATCAGGGTGCGCCGGAGGGTGCGCCGGAGGGGCTGCGGAAGCAGCAGCGATAAGAGCGACCAAGACAATTGAAGTTCGGAAATACATGTTGACCTGTACATAGGTTGATTAGCCAAAGATTCTGGTGGGAGGCATCTAGCACATACTTGTTTTGCTTTGGCAACAGTAGACGAGGCAAGTAAGTATACAAGCTATCAATGTTATCGATGTAAAATGATTTGAATGATTTGGTTGTGTTTTTAAAATGAATCGAGTTGGTCAATTGAGGGCTTTTATAACTTTACAGGCGCTGGCCATGATATGAATCCGTATGCTGCAAAGAGTACTGCATGCAGAAGTCTACTTGCATTCCACATTGTCTTCGGTATTATGATGCTTCGCCACACATCGAAGTTTGCAGTGACAAGAGAGTCGAAGAATTCCAAGACTATAATGGCTGCAGCTTTGGGACACATGCATTCTTCCGATCTCGTAACATGCATAAAATTATATCCGCATCCATCTTCAATCATGATAGCAGCCTTTTTCAGCAGCTGGAAATGCCCAGTTCCGGTCCTTGACTCGGCGCTGGTATAAGCGCTGAATACATCAATGAACAAAACCCATGACAAACATGATATTGTATTATAGTAGACATGTATAGCAGCATTCTTGTGGATACCTCTGGTATGTTTGATGTTTCCGGCGTTTATGCAACACGTGACCTTGAGCTGTTCGTGATGAAAATTCAATACGAGATAGCGAGGGCAATCTGATGAATTGGATGTGTTAGTTTGGGGTATGTTCAATCTAGACTTATTTCCAGAATAGCATTGCACGGCGAAGCCGGCAGGGCCTCGATAGGAGATGCTAGCTTTAAATAGCCATACGGTGGTCTAATAAACAATCAATATCATCTTTTTTCAGCTATTTAAAAATTTCCGCTGTCTGTCATAGTCTCGGGGAGATTATGAGCTACATGAGACCGGTATTGTAAAGGTCTAGTTTAACGATTAGAGTGATACATTCTCACCAATAGATATATACGCTGACTTTCTCCGGGACTTCGAATATCAATCCAACTATAAATCCGTATCAAGGCGCCGTAACGTACTATTTCTGGCAGCTATATAAGCACTTGCTTGTATAATTTAGATTCAAGGGATATAAATTCTTGCGTCCAAAGTCCAGGGGATAACTCATCAAGCACTGCCGCCAATTCAACATCCGTTTAGTATGATTCCGTATATAGCACTCCAGTACGAGTATGTATTTATAATTATGCTCCATCATATGTGATTAATAGGCACTAGCTTTTCACCAACTCGTATGCCCTCACAGAGATTGAGATAGCGACAGAAATACGACCAGATTCAGTACTCAAGGTGAGGTTTTGCAACTGTTTCTCCATGTCCCTTTTTCTGAGTTGCTTGAGACATTAGTTTTGGCTATCGCTGATAGTGGACTTAGAATTCTGTCGGTACACAGACCACAGGGGTCTCAATAAAACTATCTCATGGTGCCCATGGTGAAGCATTAGTGAAGACTCGGAAAAGCTCACACGGTATGTTCAACATTTGCTTTGGTTGCCAGAAGCTAATCCATGTCAAGGTACCTGGGAGACGAAGAGGCAACAAAGCATGCACTCAATTAAGAAGGATACTTCCGAACAGGTGACCTCTTGCAGCGAGTAAGAGACAAGTATGCTTTTGAAGGCCATACCAATTCCGACTATAAGTCCTAAGCTTCGCACGATCTGAAAAAAAAGTCGCTGTTCACTGATACCATTGGCAGTTATTCTCTTCTACTGTTACCGCATCTTGATTCCTGAGCTTGAGTACAGCTTGATGAGCCTTCTCTATATTGCGGAAGCATATATCATTGCTGCCTCTAGCGGTGAAGCCCGAGAATTTGCAGCCACTATTGTTCGACTGCAAACTCCATCCGATTTCGCTTGCGGGTCCGGTGGGTATGAAAGCAGATTTCCTGCAAAAATCCAAGGCGACCTTTCCTCACTTCCGACCACTCACAAATTGCCTGCTTCTCTTCGGATCCTTCATGATGGAGAAAGTATTTCTTACACAGCGGGTGGGAAACCAATCAAGCATGGTCTGCTCTAGAAATTCTTCAACGCTACTTGAATCATTAGTTTATACTGTTCGGAAGCTGGCGTTGAATACTGGGTTAAGCAAATTGGCCCATCCCCATCCGGGACTTGTCCATGGAACTGGTAGGGCTACAGCATGATTGGCTGAAAATATAACATTACAATGGTGTATTTAGGATTAAAATCAAGGGACCCTACTTTAGAGGACATTCTGGCGGCATTACTTAAATTGAACTATGTACTTGTAGAAGTAAACACCTTGTACACGTATGGAGTGGACTGAAATTTCGCCGTTCGAAGCGAATGAGTCGTTAGAAGAAGGCTCTAATGGGCTACATCACTGTCTTATTGATCAATTATCTGGATACCTATCTATTACGGGGCCTGCCAAGGTCTATCCGGCTGTAGTTAGGACCATTACTAGCGTATCTGAGTATGTATGTCGACGAAGGGGATCGGGGAAGCCTTGTTCGGGAGCCAGGGCTTTCTTTTCTCGATTCTACTGAAATCGCTTTCCGTCTTCCGAGAATGGCGCTGGTCTGTTAGGCCTCTCAGCAATATCCATAATAAATACCACGGCAAATCAATTTGGCGAGCTCCATGGCTCAGAGTTCTTCCAGGTCGACCTGTATTCGTGTCACAGACACTAATCTTTATCAGTCACTGACTCTACGGTTCTTCCCAAATATCCTCTTTGGTAACCCAATGTGAATGGTAAGGAAAAGAGAACTATGGCCATGCCTTAAGGAGCCATAAATACCAGCATTGATATTCTGAACAGGCGTCTATGAGAATTATTAGCCTCATTTCTATTCATGCCATTTTCCGGCATCCAAATCCATCGTGACTGATGGTTCGTTTGGTGGGTAATACATATAATTTTACTCTTTTAAAAGAAAGAACCCGCAATCATCTGCTCTCAATAGAACAAACAAGTATCAAAGACAGATAGACCTTTTACTCTAGACCTCAAGTATGCACGAAACAATTTAGTCAATCCACTCCTCATCACAGCTAAGTCAACTTTGCAAATAGTGTCAAGAAACCCGCAAGCAACACATTCCTTTTGAGAAAAGGGGCAGCAGGATTTTTCTGCACTATGACGAGTTTCCCGATCTACCGCCCCAGACTGTACGGTTGTCTCTGTCATGAGGCAGAGAATTCACAAATTCAAATATATAAACCATTGGATAATGAAGGATGCTGCGGAGGCTATTTTGCGGAAGCTTTCCGAAATCAGCATGTCGATTGTCGTCTTCTTCCGACTTGGAGTATCCACTTGATGTAGGCCAAGGAGCTATCCTGAGGACCTTTGTCCCCGGCACACCTGACTATGGTTATGTTATGTATTAAAGTCATTCAGTCCTCTGACGGACGGCCTTTGATCCTCCAGGGTCATTATGGCTAGGATCAATTGCAGCTTCAGCTGTCAGCATTTTCGAAGCCATGCGGCTCTTTTTTTTTCTGGATTTGTTCTCGCCAATGCGGCTTCAATTATGAGCAATGGGAATTTGGTCACGTTGGACGATGTCAACTATTATACGGGTAGTCCTTCTGTGTCGAAAATTGTTTCTGTCGGGTTCAATTCAAACTACTCCAATGCAGACGTTTTCCCCATCACAATCATTCGGACAGACGAAACAATGCTCACAGGCGACATTCTGCGAGATGTAATTTCAAACTATTCGTCCTCGGACGATGTTTTCCAGCCTGGGTTTCTAAATAGTGAGTTTTGATCTTCACTCCACTCTCTTAAATAATTCACGTCTAATGTATTCGCAGCAATCTTCCTGGATTACGACGGACATAGTCATGGCAAGATTGACTCGTCTATTCACGAAGCCTTGCAGGGTATGAACAATGAAGTTATTCTGGCTTCGCCTGCATATACATCCGAAATGCCTATTAGAGCAGCCAAACTGCACCGTGATATCCCCAAGGGTCCATATTTCTTTTCGCCTTCCACGGGGGAAATCTATCAGGCATTCCGACTCTATTCCGACCATCAGCTCGCTTTTACCGAGGCCACCATCAGTGACGGAAAGGATGGGTATAAGCCTCTACCGGCTGTGACAGAGGTAAACAAACTTTAACTGGACTGCACTGCAAATGATCTAATCTGTTACAGGGAGCTATGACAAAGAGCGTCGCTGTGCCATCCCGGCTGTACTATACACCCACCTCAGAGAAGCCACTTTTGGGGGTGAGCCTGTCAGAAAAAAAAAAAAAAAAAAAAAAAGCCATATGGAACACGGCTGACTAACTCTGTATAGTTGCGACTAGGCGTCAAAGACATCTTTGATTTGAAGGGCTTGCGAACCAGTGGTGGCAACAGAGCTTTCCACGATCTCTATCCACCACGAAACGCTACTGCCCCAGCATTACAGCGCCTGAAAGATGCGGGTGCTATCATTGTGGGAAAAATGGGTACCGTGCAATTTGCCAATGGCGACAACCCGACCGCTGATTGGGTTGACTTCCACTGCCCATTCAATCCGAGAGTAAGCCACTGTGCCAACTCTGACAAATCTTGTGCTGACAGCCTTCTCAGGGAGATGGCTACCAAGCTCCCGGTGGCTCCTCATCAGGACCAGGGGCCGGAATAGCTGCCTATGACTGGCTGGATATTGCTGTGGGAAGCGACACTGGTGGCTCTATGCGCCACCCCGGTGGAATGCAGGGCGTCTATGCAAACAGACCCTCTACTGGAGCGATTGCTCTCGACAATGTCCTTCCTCTTTGCCATGCACTTGATACGGCAGGTGTCTTTGCACGTGATGCTGTAACATGGTCAAAGGTTATGCATGCATGGTACCTCAACTTTGCAGACTACAGACAATACCCGAAACGGATTTTCTATCCCATGTCCTCATTTCCAGATGCAAGCACCGAGGCTGGGTCGCTCCTTGAGAACCTTGTAGTCAATCTCGAGGAATTTCTTGGTACCAAGCGGGAACCTGTCAACGTCTACTCCCATTGGAAGAAGACACATCCGTCAGAAGGTCCGGCGGATATAGCAGAATTTTTAAATACAGTAAGTACAAATGGTTGCAGAAAATCAATTGATAAAGACTAATTAGTCCCAGACATATGCCGTTCTTACATCCGTCGATCAGTATCGCTCCCTCGCATTGCCATTCTACGCAGACTATGCAGAGAAGCATGACGGTCGTCGACCATTTATAAATCCCGGACCTCTAGTGCGATGGGCCTGGGGTCAACAGAATGGAGGAAATGCAGCCTACGAGGTGGCCATAAAGAACAAAACCATCTTCGAGCACTGGTGGGGATCAGAAGGTTTCGGAAAGAAAGACAAGCACACCTGCTCTGAGGGAATCTACATCTATCCCTACACCAAAGGAGAGACACAATATCGAAACGTCTACTATGAGTGAGCTCCTCCATTATCAAGAGCAAACAGCGCAGAAAACTAACTCTTTAGCGCCCCAACTGATCCTCCGATGGGCTTTAAGGATGGTCGTATCTCCATCATGGGTAGCGTTCCTGACCTGGTAGTTCGCGTCGGGGAGATCCCTTACAACTCTACTGTGACACTAAAGACGGAGTATATGCCAGTGACTATGAGCTTTGTTGCAGCCAGGGGATGTGACTTGATGCTGGTGAACTTGATAGAGAAGCTGGAGAAGGCGGGTGTTTTGAAGCCTGTCAGTACAGGTCCGATGATGTATCCCGCTTAGCTTTGAGTCACTCACGCCAGCTGTCAGATATCATTGTCTATTTCCTGGGATATTATGAGATTTAAAGATTATTTGCTAGTTTACTTACTGGTTGCAGAAGCAATCAATTATGTAGACCGCATTCGCGGGGCTGAAATACATTTCTTATTGTGTGAAGCTGAGAAAGTGAAGGATCAGAGGAGGCATTGAAAGTATGTTGTTTCTGGTATCAAATTTGCCGTCTATTTAAAACTGTACTATCCGAGGATCATCGAGACAGAATGAAAAATGTAGGCTATATAAGTATATTTCTGCAGATATTAATCCATATAATTATGCTAGACTTCGTTCAACTCTTCACTAACATCCATTTTGAACTCAGAGTAGAGCTACATTACAACCAGCTAGTCCACTGCAATTTCATAGAGGATAGACAAACTTGAGATTTTCTCTGTCAGTCTTATCCAAGTCCCGCTCCCCAATCTTCACGATCTCGCTTCCCGTATCAATAGCTTCATCCCCTTCTGAGTCCGTTTCTTTCTCGGCGAGAAGTCGTTCACGACGTTGGTTTTCACGTTGGAGGTAGAAACGAATAATGATACACATCGCCGGAGAAATAAACCAGAATGCCGTCATAAAGGCCCATGGTAAGACATAGCGCGGTTTGTATTGCGGTTGCCAGAATCTGGAGTTTTTCCTCGATGTCAGTTTACTCTTTTCTTCATGTAACTATACTTAGAATACTCACTCGGGCGAGATCATGTTGGCAACTGAAGCAGCCACAATACACGAGGTCATCAGGGTAAGTTTCTTCGTGTGGCCTGTGGTAGTCGTTCCGGCCCAATTGAGACCGAGAAGATAAGAGGGCTTGAATGTTGAGACCTGGGTTCCGACTACCAAGGCTACTTTATTGGACCAAGGGGACGCCAACTGTATAGTTCACAGTTAGTGGCTGGGCAAGTCTTCTGAATTGGCCCGGCTCACCTCGATAATACCACCAACGAAGCAGGGGATGTAAGAAATAGCACATGTATATCCGGTTCCGAGTTTGGTGCTGTATAGTAAAGTTGCCGAGCCAAGGATCAGAATAAACCCCCAGAGCGGCTTGATTATATTGAAAAGGGCACTTTCTGCTGGTGTGAAGCCGAATCCGACGACGATTAAAGGTAGTTGTTGCGATGTATTATTCGGGAGTTCGTTGAAGAACATGTGGAAACTAAGAAAACCCAGAAGTTAGTGAGAATATCCTAATACGTTGGGAATCTCACATGAATAGCCAACTCTTCAAGTCAGTAAAGGATTCTCGCACTTGAGACCACTTGAAGGTCGAGTTGGTAACTCCAGCATGGGTCGAGCGGATAATCTGAATTGTGTGGACCTTCTCTTCGGTCGAAAGCCACTTAGCGTCCAGGGGAGAGTTGGGTAGGAAAATGAGGAGAGGGACAAAGATAGCAAAGGTCATGACAGCACAGATTATATGGAGCCACTTCCACGAGTTTATGTTGCCGGCCAGAACGCCCGTATTGTCGTCAAGAATGAGTTTATATGCAATCATTGTGAGCATGACGTTGGCCATACTCCCAAATGCCCACCACAGTAACTGCACCCATGGGCTCTTCTTCGGCGGAAAGAAGGCCTGATGTAGAACGGCAGTTGAAGGGATAATCTGTGACTCTGTCTGTTTGCCCGTCAGCATAATGTTGGGAGCATACGCAGACGACCAGGCTTACCATTCCCAAAAGAAACCGCACCGCCTTCATCTGCTTTCCTGTCTTGACAGCAGGATGGACACCTATAAAAAGAGCCCAGAGAAAGAGTGAGCCTGTAATGAAGTGCTTGTGCCCAATGCGCTGCGATATCCAAGCACCTGGCCAGAGCGCAACGAGATAGCCGGCATAGAACAGGATAAAAAGCTCATTGTACTCATTCTTGGTCATCTCAACATCCTTGAAAATTCCCATGGTACTGGCCTGAGAGAGAGTCGACTTATCAAGATGGATCAAGAAGGAAATCCACCATGTTTGGATGAGCAGGAACCAGAAATTTTTGCGGATAACTTTCCCCTCAAGCTCAGGGGTCAGAGGACTGACCTTGTCTTTGTTCTTGTTGTAAAATATCGTCGTGTCATCGGCATCCCGTTCATCCACTACCTGTGGATGATGAGAAGATTCGTCGGCTGCCACTCGCGCTTGGGTGTTGTTTCCGTGCTTCATGCCAGCAGACCTTAGCATGATGATATTGAAAATCTAGCCAGAGGAACAAGTAAAAAAGAACGACGGCACAGTTGTCAGGTACCTGTACCCGGTCAGATTTAAATCTCAGTAAACGACTGCGCCTGTCTCGGGACAGCCCGATTTACTTGGGCTTAGCTTTTATCAAGGTTCCCAGTAGCCCCCTGGCAATTTCTTGTTTGCCTTGGCACACTCAAGGCTGACACTCTGTGGGCGGGTGACAGCGTCAGCACTGGTACCTTGTTAGCAAGTATCCCGTCGATCAAGACAAGCGCCATATAGCAGTCCGCTCTTGGCTCGTATTTCCGGGACGGCTTGGCTGCATCGGGGGGACCTTGGGGTATATAATATGTCGAGATTTGATGGTCATAGATGGCTAGAATTCACGGAACAAAGGAGCCTTATACTTGAGCTTTCATTTACCGCGATTGCCACCGCAAAATCTATACGTCAATATTTCTATGTCTTATATAAAATTTAGGAAACCAAAGAGACAATAGACGTAGGTTCGGAACAAATTCATTGACCTAGATCTGCTGCATGCATTGCCCTATCTGTCAGGAGATGTGCGAAATATCCCGCGGTCCACCGGGACCTTCTTCGAGACCGTTCCTTCGAGGGACCTCCGGCCGCCAGCGCCAGAATGGGAGCATGTACGATGCGCTTTGATCGCCATGTTCTAAAATATCGGCAGCATGCTGTCGGACATTGGTCAGCCGGGAGCCACGAGAAAACAGGTAGGGAATTTATTCACCTCGCCAAGAACTGGAAGGAACTTTGCCCCATGGCCACTCCCTCCGGTGCAAACAAAGACGGAATTTTCCGCATAGGTGGGAACGTAGTCGATCTGGCGTTATAAGTGATCAGTATATAGGTTTGGCTTAATATACCAGCAAGACACTAACCAAAAAGGAATTGTCTAGCGAGTCTGTATACCAGCAGAGCTTCGTAGAGTCGAAGGGGACACCGCTGAATTCAGGTAAAAATATTGAAACAAACTGTTTGATGGCATAAAGAGCAGATTCCTGAAGCTGAGAGCACTTTTCCGGCGGCAGAGGCACTGACCACTGGCCATCTTGCGTGAACGGAGTGCTCTCAGGTGCTGGCTGGAAATTGGTGAACTGGATGGAAATTGATTAGCGGATATTAACAACGAATGGCAATTCGTTCTCACTTTGATTCCACGATAACCAATCTTCACTAAGCCCTCTGGAGTACGTGGCAAGACATAGATACTGCCGGTGTCCTTGCCAGAACTGTCTCGAGGAATACTTTTCCATGTCATCACAGGAAACCGCTCAGGTGAATATTTGTCCCACAGCTCGGTATTGGCCGGATCAATCTTGAATGTGGCAAGGCTTCCCGCTGAAGACTCAAGAAAATAACTCAATTCAGGAAGAATCTGTGTTGAAAATGATCCGGCTATATTCGTCAGCAAGCGCATGACCATATGGAAAAATGCTATAGCTTACCAGCAACAACCACCACATCTGCATTGTGCAATTGGCCGTCTTTCGATTTTATCCCCGTCACTCTCTCCTTGCCGGAGTCGATCTCACTGCTCGACTTCACAAGTGACTCAACAGCCCCCTTTGCGGGACCGAAGCGGAATTCCACACCCTTGTCGGCAGCGACCTTCTGATAGTATGCACAGGCATTACTGCATCTCACAAATCCGGCCAGCGAGTCCAGGACTGCCTCATAGGTGCTTGCTGGTGAGGATTGTGGAATCTCAAAGTCGAGTAGCTTGTCCTTCCAGCCCAGCTTGTCAGCGCGCCGACGGTCCTCGGGCTTGCCTTTGATGAACTGAGTGTCTCGCAGACCATCTCGTTCCATATTGGCCAATGTTTCCTTCTCAAGAGCACCCAGGACATCCGATGGTTGCACTCGAAGCATTCCGCTACCGACAAATATTCTCTGGTCATTCGAGAGATCGCTCTGCTCCAAGAGACCATGTTTCTCGTCCTCCAGCACCCAAGCCTTCCGAGCCTCTATGGCGAGGCGTTGGTAGTGAAGCTTTTTACCGTATGAGGCGCGAAACTGTGTTGTATGTATTGTTAATGCCGCCCAGGAAATGCCGTCGACTGACTCACGATCTTGTTGTGGTCAACAGACGCAGCCTGTACACCATCGGCTGCGGGATCATATCCATTTTCATCATACTGGCTTCGGTCGAATACAGTGACCTTGTAATCTGCGACAGCATAAGCAAGTGTCATTTATTCTCCTCATGATTCCGTTTTACTTCTGTCCTGCAACGCGACGGCCAGCGAGAGGCCGAAAATGCCGGCTACGAGATTGGTCAGCTAACCTAATTGGAATCGGTTACACTACACATACCTCCGATGATGGCAACTGACTTGGATTCTGTCATTTTCTAGTCCCTGTGGTTCTTCGTGTCTCTTGAGGATATGTGCAAGTGCGGGCAACCTTCTGTCGATGAGTCCCCGCAGCAGAGCCAAGAAGAGCCGCCCACAGGGTACTCCCCCTATGAGAAAGCAACATAAGTCTGTGGGCATATTTAAGTGCGGAACTATACCTGTGGATGTGAACGCCTAGTGATTTGCTTGGCACCAGTTTTTCGCAATTGGCGGTGCTCGGCGCCGAAGACATCAGAAGTCCTGCGATGCAACGAGCAATGGCAAATATGGATTACCTTATAAATTTATGGTTCTCAAAGGTATCTGATTTGGGCATAAGGGCTTGCCGTTCTTACAGCCAGGTGGTGAGGAGGCCTTGGTGTATGGTGATGAGGGCATTGATGAGGGTGCTGTTTGCCAGGTGTGGGATTACGGGTGCAGGGTATCTTACGGATATTGCTGATTTGTTTGCAGATATCCAAAGTGTTACCGAGGTGGTAGTAGTTAAGCAGTTTAGGATTCGGTAAGCCGGACTCGGGAGTGGTCTCATTAAAGTACAATTACATTATTCGTCTAGATGGTTATACAAGTAGTTTCCCATCCCGATCGGGGAATCTTCATGGGCCTACCAGGCTTACATTTCCGTTTCCGTAAACGCTCCATGGCATATCATCAGTTCTGGATTGGATTGTTGATTAACTTGTGAAGGCTGGCAAGGCCCTATGTTCAATATGGCATTTTAATTCCACCAACAATCCTGAGCAGATTCATGTCAAGGCTTACAGTCTGTACACGGATGGGTTATGGCTTGTATAACATGTCTCCGACTGAATCGACATCCCGCAATGGAAGCTGGTAATTAAATTCTTTTCGCTCTAGCCACATGTAGTTTCAAGGAACTGTACAGTAAAGCTCAAGGCCTCCCCTGTGCCCATCCGCATCGAAGACGTTTCTGTTGCTGGTCAGGCACAAGTTCACGCCAAGAAAACAGCAGTGGCGGCATACCTAGGGTGAAACGGACAGTACAACATGGCCTTGCACGCGACTACCACACCCTGTGGACATATGAGGATTTCGCTGCCAATCTGCAGTACAGGGCCTGCTGAAGTCGATCCGGCTTGCGGTTCGAATTGTTGAAAATAGGATTTCTCGAAGTAGAATGCCTTAGCCGATTCGCTGTTTCCGCCTCACCCAAACCTCCTTGTCGGTGCTGTCGGCAGTCGATGTCAACGGATCACGCAGCTGCACCTCCCAGATCTTAAGCTTGTAGTTGCCACGGTCTGCCTGTCCAGAAAAAATGTCAAAAGACCAAGCATGTTTGGGGCACGTGATTCCGGCACTTAGAGTGATGCCAAAGTCTTCAATATCAAAAAGACTGCCCTTTGAAAGTGGAAATGATTGGTGGGGGCATTGCTGGAAGGGTCAGTTGTGATCTTGATTTAGATAGCCCGTCTCAACTTACATGGTCAATGGCATGAACTTTCCCTTTATATTTGAACACAAGAACCTGGTCTTTCAAGTCCTCTCCTGGCTGGTTAATGTCTGCTTCGACCGGAGCATCCTGTGGACCGGCTGTCTTGGGGATGGTGAAAGCTTTGCATGCTTGTGTGACCTGACAATCTTCATTGTCGAGGCTGAGGTCAGGGAGTGCAGACGCGAGGCCAACCGGATGCCAGGCTGCGCCTGGTTGCGATGGTCGTCCAAAGCTAAAGAAGTTCATCGCTGGTATAAAATAATGAGGTTTATCGCGGTTTGTGTTCTCCTCGGCTGTTCCCACTACGGTGGGCTATGACTACTCCTATTGGTTATTGAAGTTCGGCGCGTGAAATTTTATCCATTTCCCTATACCTAGGCGTAGATGTTTTATTTATCAAACTATGCGCTGTGTACAAATATTGGGAAACGGCCTTCGATGTACTATCATTTGTAGTGGCTAAGAATAAGCCGATTCACATCAATACTGTTGCCCTTCTATTCTAACTTCCAAGTAAAAATGCGAGACCTAGATCCAGAATCAGCTGAGCATGTGCTATTTAGCATGACGGTGTTTATGCTTGAGTCGTTTCTAGTCTTGAGAAAGACAGCTCATGTCTGTCTAGAAACCCCGTAGTCAATCGTGATCATTCTCCCTTCCCTGAGCTACTTGCGCAACTCACCGGAATCATTCCCTATCCAAATCTTGGAAAATAGGAGTCCCTGGAAAACGTAACACAGCAACGGTGGGGATGTCTCACGCATGGCAGGATGACTCTTGCCTGAAGTGTATGCAACAATGAACATAATGCCACCACCCCGGATGAAGCGATTTAAAGAAGCCAAGCAGAGGGTGAAAATTGGCGTAGGCGAAGAGCAGAAAGTCAACGTGGAGTGAGAGGCAAGTACTAGAACAAATCTGCAATTCTTCCTCGGATATTCACTTACAATACAAGCTAGATTCAGTTACTCGAAATAGAAAAGGATTAGGGCACCGAAGTAGGGCACTCTATGACGCCACGAGCGGAATACATCTTCCGCAGCATCATCCCCAACGATGATTATAAATAGAGAGCCATAACCAAGGATTAATCTTTAAAGCTTCGAGAAATCCTTTCTCTGACATTCCTCTCATCTTACTTTCGAAATAAGAACGCACGCCTACATTAAAACACACAATGTCCCACCTAACCTACTACAACTACCCGGGCGTCGGCGAACGCAACGCCCAGAACTTCAAATACAGCCAAGCAGTCCGCATAGGCGATCGAATTGAGTGTTCAGGACAGGGTACCCTCCCCTCCCCTCTCCCTCTCATTTTCCTTGCGCCTCGTTTCAATCCATAGCTGATAAATCCCAGGCGGATGGGATCCGAACACAGGAGAGTTCCACCGTGAAATCAACGCGCAAATCGCCCAAGCCTTCGCAAACGTGGACCTAGCCCTGCGCACCGCCGGCGGAAAAGGGTGGGCGCAGGTATTCCGCGTGAATTCGTACCATGTGCCGATTAACAATGAGGCACTGGAGGCTATGGTGAGAAATTTCAGACAGTGGGTGCCGGGGCATGAGCCGTTGTGGACTTGTGTGGGGGTTTCGAGGCTGGGGGAGGATGATATGAGGGTTGAAATTGAGGTTGTTGCGCATGATCCGGGGTCTTAGGTCTGGTTTTGGACGGGGAGTATGCCTTGTCTGTTTATATTTGGTTCTGGGACTGGTGCCAGAGTGTTTTGGGTAGGTTGGCGCTGGATTGGGTGGTCTAGAGCGTTCAATTGTGATACTGCGCCGTGCCTTGGCTGTAACAGTAATTTACCAAACTACACTGGTTTACGGAGTACTGGATCGATAATAGTGACAGCAAGTAATTGAAGGAACGTGGGTATCTAGATACAAGCAAGATCTATTGACCTGAGTCAAATGCGCGAAAAAAAAAAAAAAAAAAAAAAAAAAAAAAAAAAAAAAAAAAAAAAAAAAAAAAAAAAAAAAAAAAAAAAAAAAAAA